TCCTTGTTAACACAGACCCTAAAGACCAATCAACTATTCCTTGTTAACACAGACCCTAAAGACCAATCAACCATTCCTTGTTAATACAAACCCTAAAGACCAATCAACCATTCCTTGTTAATACAAACCCTAAAGACCAATCAACCATTCCTTGTTAATACAAACCCTAAAGACCAATCAACCATTCCTTGTTAACACAGATCCTAAAGACCAATCAACCATTCCTTGTTAACACAAATCTTAAAGACCACTCAACCATTCCTTGTTAACACAGATCTAAAGACCAATCAACCATTCCTTGTTAACACAGATCCTAAAGACCAATCAACCATTCCAATCAACCATTCCTTGTTAACACAGATCCTAAAGACCAATCAACCATTCCTTGTTAACACAGACCCTAAAAGTGGCTCGTTTGGTCACGTCTAAATTAGAATATTGCATCATGCCGGAGAGTCCATTTTCCAGATGAATATTGGTTTCTGTTACACATGATACGGTTGTACAGGTGTTTGAAGGCAGTCAAATACAACCCTGGCTGCACACAACGTTCTAGAGTGAGTGAGTATGGTTTTACACCGCTTTAGCAACATCAAAGGCGGGGAACATCAGAAATAGGCTTCGTACATTGCACCTATGTGGGGAATCGAACCATGGTTTTCGAAGTGACAAGCAACAACTTGTACCCACTAGGCTAACCTAGCCCCGCCCCACACCGTTCTAAAGACTCATCCATTTGGTTGGATATCGGTAATGACCAGTACGGGGACGAGTTTCATTCCATTGTTAATTTTGACTTCCTGACGACACACGGGTCTCAGCATCACCTCGACATCCTGGAGACGCCCGTTATCCCCTATTTTGACAATCATGATAGACCACTAGACCTGTCTAGTAGATGGCAATACCAGATCTCACTTTAACGCGCTGTTCTGTGAATGCCACTTCTGCAAGAATGCCATACCCATATGATACATTTAAACAGAGTCCAGATCTATATCATTCCAATAGAACATCTCTGTTCTGTCAAGTTCGACAGAGAGCTACCTTTCCAAAATGTACGTGAATTCGATGCTGATTTGTATGCAGAATGGACCAGAATGCCTCAACGTCAAGCGCGCTGTCTGACTCGTGAATACACAATTCCTTTTAGAGAGTGGTAAGATGCAACAGTTAATATTTGGGAATACCTTTTATCTGCGGTAGCCGTTCCAGTGTACAGTTGTCAGATAGGTACACTAGTGTGTGATCTGGACTAACAGTTGTCAACCTTTTGTGACAGCAGCTGGGGCTCAGTAGGTTAGATCGCTGACTTTGCGTCCCTCACTCTGATAAAGTGGGTTCGAATCCTGTATGGGACTCAATCCGAAAAGGGGCGGTGGGGCAGTCAAGTGGTTAAAGCGTTCGCCGAATACCGGGTTCGATTCCCCACTTGGGTACACTGTGTGAATCCAATTTCCAGTGTCCCCTGCGGCGTAAGACTAAACTCACTCACTCACCGAAACCGTACCAGAATCTGTACTTTATTGAGAAAGTGTACTCCCAGATATAACATGTTGTGTCTGACTCGTGTGATGAGGGGGCGTCTAGTGGAAGTCTGTCTAGTGCAACCCGTGAAGATCCCGGTTAGAATGTGCCGTCAGTAACCCATGCTTGTCTTAAGAGGCGACTAACGGGATCGGGTGGTTAGGCTCACTGACTTGGTTGACACATGTCATCAGTTCCCAATTGCGTAGATCGATGCTCATGCTGTTGATTTGTCTGGTCCAGACTCGATTATTTACAGACCGCCGCCATATAGCTGGAATATTGCTGAGTGTGGCATAAACCTGAACTCACTCTCTCGTGCAGGAAGTGCATGAGTGGTTACACCAAGTATTGATCAGAGTGTTTCCTCATCTTCTGACAGTGGTCCAAGGTTCAGTTGTCACAGACTTCAGTATTTATTGGACCACAATTGTAATTCCCATGATCTTCTAATAGAAAAAGGTATATTAGGGATACCACGGGGAAAACGATTGTGTAAATATTGTACTTATCAGGAGGTAGAAGATGAATATCATTTCTTGCTAGTTTGTCCATTGTATGCAAATATCAGAAAAGAAAACATAAAGAAATATTTCTACTTGAACCCCCGAAAAGACAAATGCTATACCCTCATGGCATCCCAAAATCAAACAGCCACAAAATATCTCGCAATGTATATATACCATGCCATGAATAAGAGATCCTCTGCATTACAGATGTGATATTGTTTACTATATATTATTATATATTGCACCCTCTGCTACTGTATGTATGTAAAATGTACTATAGGCCTACGGCCTCTTCAGTACTGTAAATAAAGATTGAATTGTAATTTTCACTTTGTCCTTCCTGACATAACCGCCTTTTACAAATGTCAGCAATTGAGAGTTCCAATTCCTCCATTGTTTTCTTCATGGTGACTGACAGCGACTATCATTGGATAACGATATATCCAACGCATTTTTCACGGGGCAGCAAATATATTGACCCAATCATGAAGATAATGGGTGGATATTTCCAGTTGTATACAATACAGCAAGCACACAATACTGGTATTAAATCACACAGTTGTCAGAACTGACTTTTTTTTACCTCATCGCTGAAGTCATCGTAACTATACGATAACCGAAACTCTAAGCTCGCTTTCTGGAACGGGGTCCTGGTCCCACTGATCCTCGATTATCCAGGGTATTAAATATCCATTCTAATAATAGTCTGGATAATCGAAGACTCATCGACTTATTTCAAGCTAGGTTCTTGACGCTGTATAGTGTCGGAAACTAAGGCTCACTTTACGTAATAACGTTACAGAGTGAAACAAGACACACCGTGCCACTTTAAATATCAGACAAATTAATTTTAAATGGGCCGAATTTTAAAGTGATTGTATGTGGAAGTGCTGGAGAGATGGAATACTGCCTATCGAGACATGAAAGTACAGATGTTCTAAGGGAGACTACTGCTTCCGTTCTACTGGTTGAGAGCACAAATCACCCGGCGCGGGTTTTCTCTTAACAGAAGTGAAGGATTTTATGCACCATCGAAATCTTGATTTGTTATAACAGGGATACTCTACGTTATATAGTCTCCCTGGTTATATGTTGGTCGTATGTCAGAATATCAAGAGATATATATATATTACTGAGAAAGTGTAATCCCAAATATAACGTGAAACAGATATAACTGTTCGAAACAAAAACAGAACACCATGGAGACTATACAGACGTGTTACATTTGGCCTATACTCTACCAAAGACCACATGCATGTACTATGCATGTATGCGTGCGTATTGTAATTATATCAATGAATGAATGTCCAGCATCAGATGTCACCATCAAAGGTGTATCCACGGAAGATAGTCCAAGATACTGCCTATGGCAAGCACCACTGTATTTCACTAATGATCTATATATAAATGGTTCATCACAGCAGCTACCATAGTTCAGACCTATATATACAATATAGAGTCTACAAACAACGACACTTGAGATTAGGACATAAAATGTTGCTAAAATTTGATATTTACGTTGTAAAAATATATTCTTGTTTCGCTCATGATAATAAAACAAATACCCTTATCATACAACTGAAGAAAATCCTGTTTTCACTGTCCGGGGTTAGCCTATCTCATTTGCATGGAAAGTGTTCAGTGGCGCCGGGGCCACGTGCCATACTTAGCATAACTTATGATGGTCACTATGACAATACAACTTGTCCTTTGGGTGGAACAGAAAGGCCCAGGAGATATTTTATTCAACAACAACTAAGACTAAATAATCTGGATAAAATTGTTTCATTAAAACAATATATCATTTATTTTGGATGATATCGGTAAGACATGGCAAAATAAATAGTACAAAATCAACGCGCTTCCTTAGTTATATACTGGTTTCAAACCGACATCATGACAAATTGGTAAGTTGTATGGTTTTGATGATGATGACGATGACGATGCAGCGAGTGCTTAATTTTCATACTATCAGGGAGTAGGTTAGACTAACGCTTATAGTCTCTATCTACTTTTGATAGTAATAAATACTAGTAGACCCATTTCAACTGAAAAGGAGCCCCAGTTGCGATTTTAAGTCTGAAAGAACCCCAGTGAGGTGCGACATTCAGAACCTGATGAAATGTAGACTTGTCTCATTTAGAGCCTTAGCATTGCAGGGAGGACTAGGCAGTAGGGAAAAGAATGTGGCTAAGGGAGCTGAGACAGACTAGGAGTAGGTATGTGTAGAGTTCTACCCTTGTCTCCTGTAATAACTTGGAAAATAACAAAAAGAAACTTGCTTGTTGAGGAATAACTTCAATTATCATTCTGTATAGCGGAGAGGGAATAATAACAAATAATGCCATTGCCTTAAATAACTTTTTACGGACCATTATGTTACATATGTATTTTCATTGCTCAGACAGCATCTTTCTTGTACAACCTTTCAAGGAACATAACTCTTAACTTTTAACATAAATGTCACACATGCGCAGTATGCAATTTGTAGCGGACGACGCTTCGGTCCAAATTCATACGCGAAGTCATGTGTATTTCGCTGGTCTCTTCTTTTTCACGTTGTTTCGATTTCATCTTCATATGTAGCGTTACAATATAGAGTCTACAAACCACGACACTTGAGATAAGGACATAAAATGTTGCTCAAATTTGATATTTACGTTGTAAAAATTTCAACGCAAAATTCCATTCATATAATCGGAAGTAACCTGTTTCACAGTATTTAAATATGAGCACGCGAAGTCATAAAGTGCTAAAGGATACGCGAATAAAATAGCTTTATGGGCGAAACAATCAAGAATACAAAATTGCCATCACATTAACTAGTCACAAATATAGTTTTTCAATGTAATAAAAAGAGAGGCGATGTAAAATATCATATTTGTTTAATACGGAAGAAGAACGACGGAAGCGCGCACCTGTCATGTGACTTTCTTCGACCAATCACTGATACGTTTACAACTTGTATACGCTCAGCTGCCATGCTTGGTTTACGAGCGAAATATCAAACTGACAAGAACATATACGTCCATTTGGTCGTTATCGTGTCCTCATTTTTATTCCTGTTGAGTGCTTATGGTCAAGAAGGAAGGTAAGAACAACGACTTGCCGGATGACAACATTTTGTGTGTGTTACAAGCACGGGTTGATGAAATAATTTGCCCAACCGTCAGACGTACTCCCTGTGTTGTCGTTTCGTGTAGAATGTTGTTGTGGCCGTTTTTTCAGATGTACCCTTTGGGGGAGTCATTTGAACAGCGGTAAACATACACATAACGGACCCATACAAACGTGATCATCTACCTATATATATCATATTACCTAAGTTTTGTATGACCCTCCCCGTGGGTAAGAATTTGGCACTTTGCCAAAACAGAACCCGAGAGGGGTTTAGGTACATTACACGACGGTGTGGTATATTTCCTACCGTTTTGTAAATACCGTTTCTTTCCACTTCCGTTTTAGTCGCTGATCTAATTGCTAGATTCAGTATCAAATGTAAAGTTATTCTCAATTACTCCATCATCCCCCATCTGTCAGACTGAAACTGTAAACGGGTTGTATACACATCTTGCATCAAAAGCTGTCTCAAAGTTACGTGCATCTTATTTATCGGGAAACCCTATTAACCGAATAAGGAGAAGGCTCAACTTTCATTACACACAGCCAGAAAATAAAAAAATTGTACTCACATGGCTAATTTCTGCTACCTTTTCATCCCAATCTTGATTTCCAATTATGAAGAGAAAGTAGTATTTTTGGTTTAAATAACCAAACAACAAAACAACTTTTAAACTGTTTCACATTTACATTGCATAATTATGAAATGTCAGCAAAAATGTGATGTTTTTGTTCAAATTATAACAGTTATAATTTTTACATAAAATTTTCAATGTTGATTTTTAGTTTGTCTGAATGTTATCATGATTCAGGCTAGTGCCTTCATTTGGATGGTCTTTGGGTGCGTTTACACAAGAGCAAACCCTTTTTTAAGAAAAGCCATTTAAGTTATCCTGTTTGTTAATGGAATTGTTTTTTTCTTTTGACAACTGCACCATTCTAAGTTATACCAGGTGCAAATCAGTTTTGAATGAGTAAACTTCTGAATAAAACATCTAAATAATTCAATAGCATATTTCTTTCATTACATATTGCAATAAAAGCAGTGCAAATGGAATTTAGTTGGTGCAACTAGGTTTTTATTTAGGTTGCACCTGGTGCAAGTAGGTTAACATCTCATAAATCGAGCCCTGCTAAATGTACGCAACAGTCACCATGTTGTTTACAAAGGGATGTCGATTTCATGATGTGATTTTGATTGGACTTGATAGTCTTGTTAATCCAGCCCTATGTAACTCCGTAATTCCAGATTGGTTTAGTAAGGGTGGAAACTTGGAAAGATGAATGTACTCACCTGGAGTGACAAGCATTTTGCTTTTCTTTCTTACCCTGCAAATGGTGCCACTCGACAGTACAGGTAGCTAGTGGATATTTCGAGCCCTGTATAACCATTTCTGGTAGGGTAGTGAGTTGTCAAAACATCATTATTGAAGGAAGCCCTCATAAAATGATATATGATAAAGTGATGCACACATATATGTGCAAGTATTGATATGCATAATGATGAAATGATATTGAAGCAAATATGTCTACAATATGAAGTACTGCCTCAAAGATGAGGAACTTGAAATATAGTCTACAGTGAGTCATAATTAAGGATCTGACATCGGTCCTTGCTGTATTCCGTACTTCCACGGGGATTTAGATGGAGTCTTGTATTTGAGGGTCCCTGGGACTCATACTCTTAATTTTCAGGCGTCCTGGACAACAAAATGGGGGTCCCGGACACTTAAATATTATCATTAATACTGTTATTGTATTGTGTATCATGATCATCACATTGTTACAGTAATTAAATTGCAAATAATACCACAACCCAGCTAGTAGCAAACTCAGTGAGAACATATTGTTACTTGATTGGAATTTTTACAAAAAGTATTTAGCCTTTCCTTGAGTCCCTGTGGATGCCTTAATAGTACTATATTTTGTAACGTCCGTTGTCAATTTTTATGCGTATAGGACGCAGGAATTCGCGTCCTGTAAATCCCTGCTTCCAGTCATGGAATATATTGGATAAATGTCCGCTCACTGCTGAAATGTACCAGTCTTGCAGAAAACCACTTTTTGTGCAGAACTTGTTGAGTATTTTTCATTTTTCTGCCACGGTTGATGTGTAATGTGTAATAGCTAAATATGTTTACAGAAACCAACAGTCGTCATTTATATTGTCGTTGCTTTAATTAGATCTTTCCCAAAAATAATGGTTTGAGGTAATAGTGGTTGGGGCAAAATGAAATAAAATGACCAAACCTTTTTTATACACTTTGAAAAATCTTTGAATGAAATAAATTAACCTGGTTTCATTTTGCAATGAAGTATCATTGTTTAAGAAAAGTGCATGTTTTTTCTCCAGTCAGCTGTAAGAATCATGGAAAATTTTCAGAAAAATGTCTGCCATGAGTAGATGTGTGCAGAAGTAGCATATTCACAAAACATTTTTTTTTTAATCAGACAGAAGTATCCGAACTTGCAAAAACTACTAAAAAAACTTGCCAACAGAATTTAAATGTTTTTGCTGTTCTATACTTCAGAGATCGTGACAAGCAATGATATTGTCTTGCCGTCATTGGTCATCCAGGGCTCCCGATAAGGGCCGTATTGGCGTATGTACGGATAAAAAATATGCGCGATACGCTAGGAAATAATTTAGAAAACGTAGCAGATACGGACCATGGCAATGGTGTAGGGTCTTAGAATCATTTACGGGTGGTGGGGGTACGTAAGTCCCAAAACATTCAAACTAAATTTAAATATACCATTAGTTTTAATCGTAGAATATGTGTTATTTTAACTTATGGCTAATTTGTCAAAACTTGCTGACGGCTGAAGGGATGGTGTAAATCCAGCTAGGGTCCATGCAGGAAGCAAATGTACTGTAAGTCCCCATGGTCCCTAGTATGGTGATCTACCTTCAGTTGTTAGCGATCTATAGCCCATTTTTATATTGTGTTGTCCCCCATAGTTAAAATGTTTTAGATTCAATTACTAGTTTTACATATATATCTGTGATAATCTAGTTATTTTACTGTCCTTCGTTGGCAGAATTTTATAATTTCACTTAAATTGTTGATATAAATATAACTTGCTTTAGTCACGATATGGCTGAAATATTGCCGATGTGACTAAAAATCTTAACTCACTCACTCACTCATTTACGGGTGGTGGGGTAGCCTAGTGGTTAAAGCGTTGGCTCATCACGCCAAAGACCCAGGTTCAAATCCCCACATGGGTACAATGTGTGAAGCCCATTTCTGGTGTCCCCCGCCGTGATGTTGCTAGAATATTGCTAAAAGAGGCGTAAAACCAAACTCACTCAGTCAGAGTAGAATCATTTACAGACGTATTTATCTGAAAAAGTATTGGTTCATTGTTTACCTGTTGACACAAGACTAGCAATGTTGTGGTGCATATATGAAATGAAACACAAGGTTACTGATATGCCATTAAATTACATTCAGCACTCTAAATGTACTCTTAAGATTTTCCAGTATTCCTATATTTGAAAAAATAAGGAGTACATACTCCTGATGTTGAAAAATAATCTGAGCCCTGGTCATCTAACTTCATGCTTTGACTTTAAACTTACTGAATGGTTCCCACTTTGCAAGACTGCCCAGTGCAGGACTCCGACGAGTTCATACTTGTAGTTGTAAAGTCCAAATTGTTTCAAGGATACAGATAATTGTTTTGAACCATTGAATATTGACTATGAAGTTATTTGTATATGGTAAGATTTATTGTGTTGGGTGTTCAATATGTTTTCATTCCTGTAGGTCCTGTCTATTGGGTATTTTTGAATCAATCTGTGTGTTGCTAGATAATTCTTCTTTAAAACTAAAAGCTGCTTTAGGTGATTTCAATTTTTTATATGTTTGTTCTGCCCCAGTGTGTGACCATGGTAACATATTGCATAAACTAAAATTCGTCACGGTATGGCTGAGATATTGCCGAAGTGACGTTAATATTAACTCACTCATAAACTTAAATATATACATCTGTAATTAATAATATGCAATACAGAGAGCCTTCTCTTATTAATTGTCTGACAGTGCAGTAGTGTGTGATACCTATGGAGAAATTTGAAAAAGATACATTTGAGAATTGAGTGTTGAGTGTTGCTTATTTGTGCACAAACTACACAAAGTTAACTAGCTAATGGTGATTTCGTTTACTCATTTTTTGCAAATAGACAGCTTATCTGTTGTCTTTGGGAGACCTGAAATAGTATCTGAAAAAATCATTAGAATCAAGTGCTCAGGATCCACATTGTCTGAAAACCTTAAAAATGTTGGTACTATTGGTACCATGTTTAATATGTACAGCATCACCATGACACTCAGATGTTGTCCAGCCAGCCAAAAGACATCTTCCACTAAAAGACATAAACTGAAATCAACATCATATTGAAATGTGTCAGCACGATCACAGGCTCATCATGTTCAGTCATCCTGCACTTTCAAACCCGTGAAGGTCCGGGTTAGAATTGATCTTCAGCAACCCATGCTTGTCGTAAGACTATGAGGCATCTAACGGGATCGGGTGGTCAGGCTCACTGACTGGGTTGACACATGTCATCGTATCCCAATTGCGTAGGTCGATGTTCATGCTGTTGATCCATGGATTGTCTTGCCAAGACTCGATTATTTACAGAATATTGCTGAGTGCGGTGTAAAACTAAACTCACTCACTCAGATGTTGTCCAGCCAGCCAAAAGACATTTTCCTCTAAAAGACATAAAATGAAATCGACATCATATTGAAATGTGTCAACACAATCACAGGCTCATCATGTACAGTCATCCTGTACTTTTAAAATGTCAAATATCTATGATATTGTGTCGTATAAACATAGGTAATCAGGGGTGGAAATAACCCATTGCCCGACGTCCCAGTCCAGTGTTATTTTCTGTCGGGCAAGCAAATTTGTATATCACACTGTACCGGTGTCCAGTTGACTTTCCGGTGTTAATTATGTTGTATATTTAAAAAAATCAACAAGAAAACAGTGGAAAAAAATTATCAGGGCAAGTGATTTTACATGTGCCACAGTTCCGGAGTATGTTAGCAATTTTAAAGTTATTTCCACCCCTGCAGGTATATGATCTGTCAATCAGTGGTACAAATGGCTGTTGGTTACTATTTCCAATTAGTGACATTTCAAACCTCATGCTCATTACAGGGAAAATGTCCCACAAAATCGCTGGTATACAATAGTGGTGTTCCGATTAATTGTTATAATCGAACACAGACGATTTTGGAACTACTGTTTTAGTGTTTGAAACACTTTATGATGGAACATTTCTTAGAAGTTGTCAGGGTCTGAAAATGTGTTTTAATTCTCACAGAACTCACTTCTTTTGCTGAAAAGTCATGACTGAATATTTCTTGAAGTCTCTGGGAATTTTATGTTCATGATATATTACTCATCACTTGAAAGTAGCAAGCAGCATCATTTTACATTGGATGTGTCTTTACCAATGCAGTTGTGCAGTTTCTTAAAAAAAAAGGAAAAAAAAGAGCCACATGTTTTTTCTTTAGGCTTAGGCCAGGCCAGTTTTATTTCTTGTTTTACGGAATTTTGTCCTCAGAAAACCTAAAGTCAGGAGGAAAAAAAATAAATGAAAAATGACACTAACCAATTTGTTTCAATGATTGCTCGTTGGTAATGAACCAATCATCAATTGTGAGATTTCAACCAATTCTCAACACTAGTATACACTAGACATTGATTGATATGTGAACTTCCCATTGCAGGTGATGAGTAGTGCTAATTTCCCAGGTGGTGGGGGTGAAAGACGGGAGGACAAACCCGAAACCCTCCCTACAGCAGCCCCGCCCACTTTAAGTGGCACACCTGCCCACATTCACGCTCAGCCACATCAAGTGGACATTAAGTTACAGGTAATATAAAAATATCATTTTTTCCTTATCCTGGCTCATTATTTGCTACTCTGTCTTTCAGCTGATACAGTTGAAACTTCTGTGTCTATGTTCCCCAAGACTCGTGAAGGTCCGGGTTAGAATGAATCTTCAGTAACCCATGCTTGTCGTAAGAGGCGACTAACGGGATCAGGTGGTCAGGCTCGCTGACTAGGGTGACACATGTCATCGCATCCTAATTACGTAGATCGATGTGCATGCTGTTGATCCCTGGATTGTCTGGTCCAGACTTGATTATTTACAGACTGTCGCCATATAGCTGGAATATTGCTGAGTGTGGCGTAAAACTAAGCTCACTCACTATGTTCCCCAAGAATAGTAAAAACATCTCACCCGAACGCACCAAAAAAAATACATTTTATGATCATTTGATTATTATTTCAAGATCTATCTAAAGCAATTACAGCATATCCCATATATAACTGCTGATGAATATTGAATGAGCACTACAAAACAATTGAAGCATAGTACTGTGAAAATACTAGAAGGAAGTTCAGGTTGAAGTAGGTGTTTAATCATAATGAATAATTGATTTGGTATCTAGGAACAATTATATACTGCAATTGTCTATAATGTTTGAAAAAATTACTACCGGTTTATATTATTTTGAACTTAATAATCAGTTGCTCAGTTAGGCATTCAGGGATTTACTTTGGCCTAAGAGACTCACAGAGTAAGATCTATTGACAGTACAAGTACAAGGCATGGATATGAGGTTTGAGGTTGGCACCTTTCATTTGGTTGCCAAGGAACTTATTATTATTCATACTCATAGACAGAAACTGACACCCTGAAAATACATTCTAAGATACTATTTGTAAATAGCCATAACTTGTTTGTGCGTAGGACGCATCAAATTGATCAATGATATAGTTATTTCCACCCCTGAGGTATGTGTTATAAAAAATAAATTGAAAAAAATAACACATTTGAAAGGTAAAATGACCACTATTCCCATGAGCATGTCTTATATTATTAAATTGATAGTTTACTCCGGTACAGTGGCACATGTAAAATCACTTGCCCTGATAATTTGTCCACTATACCAGCCGATTTTCTTGTTGATTTTTAAAATAAACAACATAATTAACATTGGAAAGTCAACTGGACACCGGTACAGCGTGATATACAAATTTTCTTGCCCGACAGAAAAGAACACTAGACTGGGACGTCGGGCAATGGGTTATTTCCACCCCTGTACCTTGACCGATCATTTCAATGAGCTGTGGACTTACTGCTGTTTTTGTTTGTTTTTGCAGACAATTAGACCAAAGATAAACCAGTCCGGGAGTCTAAGTCATCCACATCCGCAGTCACTAACAGCAATGTTGCCCACAGGTAATACAACCCTATGATGAATAAACAACCAGGCGACCAGGTGAAAATCAGGGTTAGAAATGGTCTACAGCAACCCATGCTTGTCGGAAGAGACAACTAACAGGGTCCGATGGATATTGCTGTTGTTGATGTTAAACAACAGACAAGCTTCAGGCCCAGGAAACATGTCTTCATATCCCAAGTGTTTGGTGCAGATGACTTGATTTTGATCATGGTCAATCACTTGTCTATCTGGTCCTATCTGGTTAATATAAATCATTACATGTCAGCTTGAAATACCTTGAATGTTGGTATCGAAAAAGCAAACAAATAAGGCATTTTTGAAATTGTATGAACTTTAAATCCTGCATTTATGAACCTGGAGTTTGTATATTTTTCAGGGTTAGTGAGCAATCCCAGTGACGGGGTGCATGGTCATATCGCCACCACCGCTTCAAGTGGGCTGTCGGCGGCACCGCATGGCCAGCTGTCTGCTGCCGTATCCAATCTCGTTCATCTCAGTGCTTCAGTGGCAGGTGGTGCTACTCAGTCGCTAGGCAACGCCCTCCCCTTGAACGTCATCACGAGAAATGTCACTCCACGACCACAGTTTGCGTCACACTTACCTAGAGGTAACTTTCATTGCTCTGTCTGTGAGCCTGAGTATGTAGGAATTATCAATATGAACAATAGGCACCTGTCCTATCATCCTTCCTAAACTGTCCACTAGTAAGGCAGTACAGGGACGAGTAGAAACATGAACCTTTTAAGGGTTTTGCTATATGTTAGTATTAGGACCAGTGGACTAAAATGTTTGTTTCTGTCTCTGTTGAAAGGAATGTATTTGCTTTGATCACGGTTTTATACTGTATCACATTGTGTCATAAGCCTTAGCCTATGTTTAGTGCAGTAATTAACCCATTCAACACCGTAGGCCGGAAAACCGGTCAAGACGTCACCAATCCCCAGACACCGTAGGCCGGAATACCGGCCAGGCAGTAGTCACATCAAAATGATATATAATTTTAGGAACCTAACTAACATATGATTCATTTATCAAATCTGTCACTTTTCATGCCTGAAAACACTTATTACATTTCAAATGGCCATATATAATCGACAGAATTAGAATTATAAACTATTTTTCGCAATGTTATTGAAACAACGATTCTTGGACACATGCTTCGGCAACAGGTCCACATCAGAGTTGTCAAAGAGCAAAGTAACGATGTTTCGAGATAATAATTACACAAATTGAATTTTCCAATTACGTAAAATGAAAATATAAAAGAAAAAGTTAAGGGGATATTCTGACATGTTACAAATGGAAAAAAATCGCCTCATATTTTGCTTCCTTCGTGGTTTATCTGGACATATAAATGTGTAAGCTTGCATTTTCATTAAAAATTAACTTATTTAAGTTGTAGTCGTATTACTTGAATAATATGATAAAAAATAACTTTCATATTTATAAACAGTAGGATTAGACCTTTCAAATGGTGTATGATATGTAGTAGTAATAATGATTTACGAGCTGATATTTTCATTGATAAACATAGGCTTTATCTATGACCTCAGAGTCTCTGGGAACTCGGTGTCATGGCAGTAATTGCTTCTGGTGGACTGGTGTTGAAAGAGTTAAAGTAATCAGTCAGCAATGTATGGAAATCCCATGAGCGAACTCTCTACCTGAATATGGTGACTATTGTTTCCTGACAGGAAAGCTGCATATAAGGAAATGATATACTGCTTTAAAATATAATTAATACAAAGTGGATGTGTATACTCCAAGGATATGATACACTGATATTTCTGAAATGTTGTTGCCATTGGCATAATGCAGCACTGGCTCCCTGACTCATTCCATTGTTTAGTGGATAGAACGTAGGCCAGGACAGAGGGAGGCTGGTTCCACCCACAGCAGCATTGTACCAAACAATGTTGAGAGATGTCCTGTCTGGTGCTCAGTATTAAGGGATGAAAGGACTGGTCGTATTTCAGTGTCAGATAGGGATGACTATTGAGGGAGAAACAACTATTGCGATAGCGATAGTCTATTGCGACCAATTATTGCAATAGTTTTTTTCTCCTTGAATTGTCTCATTTGAAGTCATTTCCCAAATGAATGTATAATTTATATGAAATTGATAACTGACGAAAAACTTCAAATCCAGATCAAGTTAATAACTTGACGATTCTGGTACTTCCTGTATTTTGTGCTGCGCATTTATCAACGGAAGTCAATTACTACACTATCGATAGTCACACATAATATTGATTATTCGATAGTTTTTCGTTTCTAGCATCAATTGATATCAGAGACTCAACAATTGCAATCCATTGATAGTTTTTGGTTTCTACCATCGATTAATTGCTATCGGAGACTCAACAATTGCAATCCATAGATAGTTCGATGCATCGTTACACCCCTAGTGTCAGAGTGGTGTAATGTGTTAAAATCCCCCTTAGTAGTTTGGCAAGTGCAAGCAGTCTCGTGCGCGCACACACATATGCATACACTTATGAGTGCATTATTCTTGAATGTGAAGTATAACCCCATTTAACCTTACCTCACACTCACTTTCATTACAGGAGCAATCGCTGCAGCAGCATTGTCAAAGACATCTGGCAACATCGCTACCGCAGCCCCAGCTGTGGTGCGGCCCCCGGTTCAGATCCCAGTGTCATCCAGTGCTATCCACGGTGCAGGTGTTATCCCCACCATACAGCCCTCTCTGGGCAGATCACCCATACTCTCAGCCATCAAACAGGCCACGCCCCCCTCCACACGGTCACCCTCACCTGCTGTCAACATTTCAACCTCACAGCAACCTGAAACTCATCGGTAAGTGTAACCATAGAAACCAGAGGACTTTAAAAGTGGTATTCATAGTAACATCCATCATGGTAGCCAGTCAAAAATGATAGACATGCTGTATAATCACAAATTCCTTTCCTACTCTAGATCAAGCTTTGCCATTCATGGCCAGCCACCAGCTACAAACCCTCAAAACATCCAGATCACTTTGACGACAACGAGGTCGACGACGGCCATTGAGATTCCGAAGCCTGTGAACACCCACAGTCAACAGAAGCCTCTGAATGTCCCCAACCCAATGTCCATACAAGCTCCATCCAAAGTTATCGTCTCACAGACAGTGAATCCACTGCTGCCTCATCTCGCTAAACCAGGTACAAAATCATTCGTCCTGATCCCAGTTTAAATACGTCCACCATGACGTGAGTGAAATTTGGTCGTCATGCACACTTGCTGGGTGGATTGTATTAGATAGTGAATTACACTGTTTTGCGAGTATTTTAAGGTATATAGTTTGGTTTGGACCAAATTTTGACTGTACAAAATGGTCCAAATTTAACTGAGGTCTGCTTGTCTGACACTTGTATCAACTTGTAAAATGGATTAAGACAAGTGACATATCATGTGAAAAATTACTTTTGCCTTTTTACAAATGGCATCTCTGAAACAGGAAGTTTGTGGACTTGTAAAAATGTTAAGTAGTATCAGTCGCTGTCTATTTTCAGTTACCATTCTATGTTTATTGGATCATGGTATTAAAGATCTTTATCTAGAAGAGCTCAGAGACCGAATATTTGGCCCCAAGCAAACCTGTAGCAAATATCTTTAAAAATTACAAAATTCAAATTCAAATTTGTCAAGGAGACTTTATGTCACTGATGACAGAACAAGCAGTGAGGCAGATGATTTTTAGTCGTACTTTATTGCACTGAATGCGATGGTAACATAACTTTGTATATAGGGAAAAGATTTTGACGAACTTTAACATGTAAGAAATACTGATGTTTTCTAATTCGCCTGCCAATGGCACTTTTTTAAATCATAGATAAATCCTTGTGTTAACCGACTGAAGTCAAATACCCATGATGATCAGTGTTTAATGAAGGTATTTGCTATTGTTTCAGTGAGTCTGTCAATGACAGGACACATATCGTCAGCCAGTGCCACGCCCCTAACCCCCGGCTCCATCACAACTACCACAACTGTAGCATCAACACCATCAACAATACCTATAGGTGGGTTGCCTTGAGATCATGTTTTCTCTTGTATACATTATTTGGGTTTATAATGAACTGGTTGATGTGTATGAAATTCATTTTGTAAATCTACCTAAGCCAGTTGTTGAAGACATGTATAGTGAAAAACCCAGAAGACCATTGTTGAAAGTTCCTTAATGCAGTAAAGGGGCAGTATAGGGGCGGTGGGGTAGCCTAGTGGTTAAAGCGTTCGCTCGTCAAGCAGAATGCCCGGGTTCTGTTCCCCACATGGGTACCATGTGTGAAGCCCAGTATAATGTGAGTGCCCATTGTCATCAGACAGTGCACTTGCTTGTATCCCTTAAACTGTGAACAGACTATTGCTTACTTTGTTAGTAAACAAAAGAGACTGATATATTCATAAGTGATTTAGGAAAGATGTGTTTGCAGTTCTATTAATTCCTCGTGATAATTGGCAAGATCAAGTATATCGTTTTATTTCTGAGCAAAGGGACAATTTATTGGTTTGTTCTGGTCAAAGTTGAAGGAAATGTTTAAGAGCCTCCATACCTGTCCTGCTTACAGCCAAAGTTACCCCCCAACGTCAGCAACAAACCATCCCCCAGCCCAATAGTGTGTCCCAGGCAACACCAGCCCAGGATCTGAGTCGAACAGAGGCCTCAACATCATCAACCAGTCACCCCCACGGGCAGCCAGCAGGGGGACTTTTCATTCCACAAGCTCATCGTATCCCAGCAACCACTGCACCAATCACGACAGCAGTAGCAGCAGCACCTTCTTCAACACCGCAGCAACAGGAAAAGTAAGTCTCTTTTCAGACTTGGTTGGGGGATCTCTCTATACAGGGCTGTTCCAGTTTTCTTTTCTAGTTTACTCAGGTATTATTACCCAGTTGGTTCCCTTTGAAGATCCGGATCTTCAGCATCCAATGCTTGTCATGAGTTATAGGTAATGGGATAAGGTGGTCAGGCCAGCTGACAAGGTTGATGCATGTAGTTTTTCTCATGTGTTTGGATTTCAATCACTGGGATGTCTGGTTCAGACTAAATTATTTGCAGACTGCAGTCATATAGCTGAAATATTGCCGACTTAAGTTATAATTACGAACAAACAAATCTATCAGAAAAGAATGAAGCTTCATCATGTTTTATTCTCACCATTGACTGTGATCTGTTTCAGTCGGACAGTGGGCAATATCCCCCAGCTGCCTCACCTGTTCTCCCAGACTGAACTGTGGCAGAGCTACCCTCTACAGTACCAGCAGCTAGTGTACCAGCAGGTGGCAGCACAGGCAGCACAAAATCCCCTCGCTACCCCCATTACCACCCCAGCCACAGCGCCAGTCAGACCCAGCCCTGGGACCCTCATCTTCCCCCGACCGCAGGTGGAACAGTCAGGTAGATATCCTTATACTATGCTTTTGGTTTTGAGACTTTTTGCTGTTTAATTTTAGAAGCTTTTGTTGATTAAAATAGAATGATAAATTTGTGTTGCTAAATATTTTTTTAATATCCTTTTATGTGAATTTGATTGAGTTGTATCTGAGAGGGAAATTATCTTGAGGCAGATATCTTTATGGGTATCTATTACAATCAATGACATGTTTTGATGATACTAGCATCATTATCAGGCATCTTCCATTGTTTTCTCCCTAAATCTAGTTATGGGAGGTGGGAGGTCCTACCCCAAGGTTTTCGTATTAGAACAGCCACATAAGACATAATATTTGTGTTTCAGTTCCGAGCCAGAACCCGAACCTGGCTGCGACCCTCCAGGCTCACGGGATGACGATGGGTCAGACCCAGACTCTGAGGTTCAACTCCATGATGGTGCAAGTGGACCCACGCCACCCCATGTCCACCATGCACCCCCAGTTTGCCACTACGGCGGCTGCGGCCGCCGCCATCACCAGTGGGGCATCTCTACCTCAACAGGACAGTAAACCAAGTAAGATATTTACTCCTACAGGCTGGAATGGTCTTGCTAGCAATTTATCAATTGAAAATGATGTATTAATTCAAAATTAGTTTCTGTGCTTGAATTTACTGAACACCATATTGAAGAGAGATGTAGCGTAGCACTTCATTTCATCAATATAGTCCAAAACATCTTCATGATTCCTAACCATTTTGTTCAGTGGAGTTACACTTAAAGATGTAAAAACTGAAACAGTTAAGATAATCATGGCTACTAGCTATGATGTCTTTCTGATATTGTCGGGAAAATGGACTCGAAGTCCTGTTTGTCATTACCTTAGTTGGACTGAGTTCCTCATTGTTTCTGATGTCATACACCCTGATACAACATTCACCTTATTAATCGGGGCGGTGGGGTAGCCTAATGGTTAAAGCATCCGCTCATCACGCTGAAGACCCTGGTTGAAATTCCCCACATGGGTACAATGTGTGACGACCATTTCTGATGTCCCCTGCTATGATTTTGCAGAAATATTGCTAAAAGCCGTGTAAATCCTTACTCACCTTATTAATCAATCAGAAATTTGTATGTTGCTCTATCAACTGCTTAAAAGTTGCATCTGTAACAATATACCAAACGTGAAAAGCTGGCTGGAATGCCGACATTTTGATATGTATATGTACCAAAGTTTAAAAGTGTACTTTGTGTTTCACTTTCACTGGGAGAACATTTTGTTTTTAGCAAAGGTTAACCCTGAATTCTCTTTGTTTTCTTGCAGAAATTGATTGGTAGGTGTTTTCTCCTGATGTATATATTGTAACATAAACCACAACAAATGTGCTGTGGATCTGTAAGATATGACCATTGCTGTCTATCCCTGTCAAGGGTTGATACACTTCGTATAGCCATCTGTTTGTGTGTGCAGCAATCTCAGCGACGCTGTGTCGGACCCCGCCCCCTGCCTCCTTGCACGACGCCAGCCACAACATGAGTCTGTCCACTGCCGCCACAGTCGCTAGCAGCATCTACACCAGCTCCCCAAACATGCAGACACAGTCGTCCTCCATCAACAACCCCAGTGCCTCACCGCGCCCTAGCATTCTCAGAAAACGAACCAGCGATGGGTAAGACATCCGATTCTTTTTGAGAAATTACTGGTTCTCAGGGACCTGTGAAGATCAGCTCTTCAGAATTTGTCTTCATCAAACCATGCTTGTATGAGAATAGAATCGAGTGGTCAGGCTAGTTGAGTTGGTTGATGCACGTCATATTATCCAATTTATGTAGATAAGTGCTCGTAGTGTCGATCATTTGATGGTGTGACTGAAATCTGATTATGTACTGAGTACAGTCGTTAAGTGCGACAAACAGTTGTTAAGTGCGACAAACAGGAAGTGTTTAACACAAAACAGAAACAGGTTCTTTCTTTTTTTGCAAAACAATCTTTTTTAGTTTAGTAAGTAAAGGTAAAGCTATGCAAGAACTAATGTTTTCTGTTTTTCTTAAGGTCTTTTTAGGTTAACCTGAAACAAAGGCTTCCCAAAGAAAACTGTTTTTATATTTGCCATTGGTTGGTCTGTATTCTAGTGCTGGTGTTGTTGTGAAGCGACCGATCGGACTGATGCCTGACAATCACAGTCCTCGGCCAGAGCCCTCCCAGCCCCAGTCCAATACAAGCTCACCAAAAACTCCAGCGGGGTAAGTTCCTTGTACAGTCACAGCAAAAATGACTGAGTTTTACCTAACGATACTGAAAAATGGCATTTGTTGTTACCCTGGCACCTCAGCATTGGGGGAATAAAACAAGGACTGGTTGGCATGAAGACATTATGATATCGGACTCACTTTCCTTAGTGCAAGAGATACCATTGTGATTTTAAAGCTTGCAATATGAAAATGTGGACTTTTTGCACACCATTGCTGAGGACAGGCCTGGATAGATCCCTTTGTCATTAACCTAGACTGAAAGTGGTGATGTCATACTGGGTTATTTCGGTCAGTGAAATATAGCACCATATGTAATATTTGGGATTACACTTTCTCACTGAAGTACAGATTCCAGTACTTTTGTTAGGTTGAGTCCCTCCGGGATTTGAACCCACACTCTTGAGTCAGCACACGAAGTCAGCTGTCTAACCCACTCAGTCGCTGCAGCTTCCTCTTGTTTTTGTATTTTCAGATCAATACAGTATTTTGTCTCTTATTCTTGACATATTATTTTGTAGTGACAACAACAGTCAGTCCTCAACAGACACTGCCTTGTCATCCAATGATGCAACGACCCCCACACAAAACTCACATCTAGACGTCAAGATCAAGCAGGAACCACCAGATACTATGGAGAATGGTAAATGTTTCACTTGTTCAAGTCTTGGTCTATGTGCATGTTTGTTGAGGCCATAGAACCAGACCTGGTAGCTTGATTGATCATAAATTGGATGAACCAGAGAGCTGAAATGAAGGTAGGATGTTTGGTGAGCATCAATGAGTTACTTCCCTTGACATGTTCATCGGATACAGGGAATGATTTGTATACTGAAATAGTTTGTTTTTCATCAGCTATTCAGTATTTTAGATTTAGAACAGTGCATTGTTAAAGTTAACATATTGAATAAAAAATTAAATTGGGAATGAGCATTTATGGCTGAATTATTACTGACTGTAGACAACATTCACGTAAACACTGACTGTGGCAGCAGAAATGTTGATGTACATTATGTAATTATGTTATCATATGCAGTTAGTGCCAGCTATTGATATTGGTGGAATATTTCTAAAAGCTGCATGTGACCATCCTCACTCGATTCCTCACTCCATGTTCCACAGGTCCATCATCGCTGAACAGCCTAGCATCCTCTCCAGTCAGCAACTCACTGGAGGCGTCGCCCAGGAAGAAACCAAGGAAACAGTTACTGTAAGCATAACAGGGCCATCAACGTGTCTCGTACCCGTCAGTTTGAAAATATATATTGTTGATGTTGTTTTGATGGTCATTTCTTTCAGAGATTTGGACTCTATTAATTTGTGCTTCTCTCCTGGTTGGGGTATCTAGGCAGAACATATCCTTATTCTTAGTAAACTGTATGCTTTTGAGATTCTGGGGCAAAATAGATCCCAAAATTGTGTGTCACTGACACTTTCTCTTTCTGCTGCAAGCAAATTGCCAAGTCTGTCAGATGGTAATCAGTTTTTGATTTTGAAATCAGAAAACATTCCTTGTACTGCAAGCTTCTTGTAGCAACCTGTCCTTATTAGGATACAGTGGGTTACCCTACTGTGCCCTCTTATCTCGGCCCAGATATTTGTCATTAACAGACATACATGATACACCCTATACCTACATGTAACAATTTATCAGTGTATCACTCATCAGTGTTTACAATCAACTCCATCAAACCTGAGTACTCTGTCCATAAACCAGCATCTCAGCAATGTGGCTTTCTCTATATAGCCACTGATATTTATTCGGCCATTATGTTCTCTGTACAGGAATGCAACAGAGGAGCTAAAGGACAACACATCAACAGATGAGGAAGTGGAGAAGGTCAGCGGCCATAAAGAGAACAAGCCTAAGGAAATCAAGAAAGAACAGAGAGATGGTAAGCTTTGTATAATTCTCTTAGATAAAACATTCAACCATGATGCTGGTACCATGATAGTGAAGGATGATGAAGTTTGATTGGTTAAATTTTCCCACGCCGTGTTTAGCGCAAAGCAGGGGATATAGTATTAGGCTCCGTACGTCCGTACGAATTTGAATATCTTAAGATCCGTTGACTAGATTCTTTTCATATTTGGTACCTAGGTTCATCACAGTCTAAGAAGAGTCCCAGTCAGGTTTGGTGACCTTGACCTTCATTTCAAGGTCACAAATTTCAAGGTCACAAGGGGACTTTACCGTTTTACTCTTGTCAGCGAGATATCTCAAGAACCGTGTACTAGATTTTCTTCATATTTCAACACCAAGCTTTATCTAGGGAAGGCACAGGACCCAGTTGAGTTTGGTGACCTTCACTTACTTTTCAAGGTCACAGCGACACTTTGAAGATTTCAGTATGTTAACCTGCATGTTAAGATGGTCAGCGAGATATCTCAAGAACCGTTTACTGGACTTTCTTCATATTTACCAAGCTTCATCTTGGGAAAGTGCAAGGCCCAGTCGATTTTGGTGACCTTCACGTAATTTTCAAGGTCACAAAAACACTTTTAAGATTTCAGCATGTTAACCTGAATTCACTGGATTTTCTTCATAGATTTTCAAGACTTCCCTTGAATGTAATTCAATAAGCAATTTGTTTAGAACCACTTTTGCATATTTCATACACTATGACATTCATGTCAAGGTCAAAGTCAGTCTTGAAAATATTTGTGTGTTTGAAGAACTGAAGAGCAAGATATCAAGAGAGGTTGACTGGTCATGTTTTTGTTGACATTTAACTTCATCTTAAACTTTCATTATTTTTTAAGTTTGATTTGATAATTTGCGACGGGGGATTATGTCACCTTAGTGACAATGCTTGTTTTAGGTTTAGGTGGGCGATAATCACTTCTGACCTCATCACTACACTAAATATCTGAGCAAGAAAAAGTCTTTGACTTTTGCCATTGTAGAATAAAGGTTCGTTCTTGGGTTGATAGTTTTAATTTTCAGCAGGCCCTTACTCCTTGCAGTTTATGTTAATCTGTAAACATGATGAATGAATCATAAGACTAGGAGTACCGTGTAAAATAGGGTCCAGCTTTAAAGTACTCTGCTGTTTAATCAGTCAGTCATCATAACTGTTGTACAAAACAGCCTTAGCACTAAGACTACCTTGAGTCTATGTTAAGGTTAGGGAGTTACGGTCACCTTAGCGCTAAGACTACCTTGAGTCTATGTTAAGGTTAGGGAGTTACGGTCACCTTAGCGCTAAGATCACTTTGTACAACGGCACCCAACAACTTACAGATGCAAAGCAGAGACGACTTATGACTCCAGTTTACATGCACTCTACGCACTGCTGAATTTCAGACACTGGATGCTCTGATGTTACGATGTGAACATATTTGTGCACTCAATATCAAACTTTTCTTTTGATCTTACAGAATTTATTGATGACGACGGAGTACGGTGGACGTCAGAGAAGAAAAGACCAAACATTAATCTTCTTAATTTCTACAATATAACATGGAAGCCGAAGAATAATCACTTTCAGAGATTTACTGATGTTAAGCCTAAAGGTACCTTTCACCCTTGTATCAAAGAATAATCAATCAAATTGTATTTGTCATTGCCAACTATAAATCAACAAATCTTGTCAATACTTCCCTGTGTGGAGTTGTCAACAGTTCCACAATGCGCTGTGCACATCTGCAAAACTTTGCCTAGCTTTGATTAGCCTTGATTTGTTGATGCGTGCTAGACCCCAAATTATGGACCAGTGTTGACAGTATCAGTACCTGTTTCCCTGTCACATCTAGTTAGATGACTATCTACAGATAAGGACAGTGGGGTAGTCCAGTGGTTAAAGTGTTTGCTCTTCACACCGAAGAAACAGGTTTGATTCCCCACATGGGAACAATGTTGAAAGCCTATTTCTGGTGTCCCATTGACATGATATTGCTGGAATTTTGCAATTAAAAGCGGCATAAAACAGTAATTACTCCCTCACTCAAGATAACTTTGGGAAAATAAGGAATTTATAATAATGAAAGACTTGGGTGACGTTCCACTATTCGATCTCATCTAAGATCAATCTTAGCAAGGCTTAGCAATCTTAGCAAAATTTTACAATTGTCTTAGCTAAAAGATACGCCCGTTCCACTTACCGATGTTAGGCGGATCGTAGCCGGTCCCGATCTTACGATCCGATCCTAGCTAAGATCGAGACTCTTTCAAGCAAGAGATAGAAAAATGCGAGGCACGAGTTATCTCCTTTGCTTAGTCTAGCAGAAGATGGAAGTAGTTTTGGAACCAAGTGTAAAAGTAGAGAAAAAAACTTGGGCGAGAAAGAGCAATTTTTCTCCTGAGGAAATATTAATTCTGGTTGACGAGGGGGTCCACCCCTATATATCTGGGTATCTGGCATCATATGTGGCTTAACCTTGTCGATCAGCATAAACAAGGCATGATGAGGCATCCTGTACCTCGCCACAAGTACATCATCTGTTAACATATGAAGAATCTGTGAACGGTCTAAAAAATAAGCTCATGGTGTAATGCTCGCTCTGCTTCTCCACATAGAATATGAAAGCTGCCATTTTGGTTTCTCTTCGATTGATATTAGCAATCCTAAGTTGGTCATGAGCAGCTTAGACTTTGGATCTTACTTTACGATTGACTTGGGTGAGATCGGTTAGTGGAACGGTATACCTATCGTCATGTCACGCTAAGATTGGGATTTTAGGCGTAGGGCTAATATCGGTTATTGGAACGGCACCCTGTTCATCATGATTGATAACAGAGTGTTATCTTTCATTATCCAATGTCATCCACAATCATACATCTGTGTTTCAGAGGAAAGGCGGCCGACAGTAAATGAGCTGTCTAACCAGAGAGGCATTCACCAGAGATCAAGTGGCTGGAAATTGTACCACATGGCATCTCAGCTAGAAAACTTGGTGAGTTCTTGTCTTGCGCTTAACGTTAAGGCCAGAAAACGTCATGTAAACGTACAGCTTTCAAACTTGGTGAATTATTGAAAGTCATTGTTATTAGCACTGAGATTAACTAATGCTGCTATTTTATTATGGTGTTACGATTCATATTGACTCTCTGATATGACTGTTTATTCCATGTGTTGTGGTGTTGGTGTAGAATGACCTGGAGAAGGACATGTGTGCCCGGATCAGCCAGCTGCAGGCAGCCCTGGCGCCAAGAGCGCCTACCAAACAGGCAATGGTGGAGGACTACGATGGTATCATTCATGAACTCTCACAGGTAGAAAAAATTCCAATTCCTCTTTAAAAATTAACAGGGAGCCTGAATCGTCAAACCTCCTTATACCTGAACCTGTCGTGCCTCTTAGGGGATTCTGTTTAGAAAAGATGTCCAACATCCTATTTTTGCAATAGGAGTCAAATATGTGGATTTGATGGCCAGACAGTGTTTGCCTTTAACCCCGAACGCTTTGGCCAGATTTGGTTGATTGGGTGTAATTATACCCTGACGTCATGACGACTGAAAATTTCAAATACTGGTTTTGCTGCTCCATATTTGCCTGTATGCTGGCACCAAGATCGTTGCAGCAATATTCACTCACTTAAACTGCAGCCATGTAGACTTGGTATACAATAAATCCCTTTTGTCCTGTAAATTAGTCTCAATTGTATTTCTTCTTTACAAGAAAACTATGGGGATTAATGGTGGCCCAGTGGCCTAATGTTTTGTGCAGAGTTGTGTCCCTTTGTTGTTGGGATCAACTTCATCATTAGTTTATGTGCCAGATCTAACCTGATTATAATCTTGTGTTTTCAGCGCTGTTAAAAATACTCATTGGATGTGAATGTCATGACACTCCAATTTTGACTTAAACTCTTCCTCCTTTTCTCCCAAAAATTTTCATGAAATCCTAATCTTGGAAATTTTGTTTTGTTATTCAGGCCAATATTCAGCGATGTCAGCTGATTGGAGATCAGCTAGAAGAGGCAAGGTCATCCATGCTGAAGATTCTCGAACACAAACCTCGCATACAGGAAATCATCAACAAGCACATGAGCAAACGACCAATCAAAAAGAAGGAGAGGACGTAACACACATGGTACACACATCGAGTGTGATACGAGACAATATCCAGCAAGTATTAACCCTATGACCACATGACTGTCACTGCAGGTCAAAGCTGTGAGGGTTAATTACATATAGCAGCACAATGTGTGTGATACAAGACAGTGTGTTAACCCCTCAACTCTCGACGACAATACTGCAGGGCAAAGAATGAGAGCGGGTTAACCGACTGATGGCGAGTGGCAATATATCATTCATTATCATCTGTCAACAATTCTTCCATCACCCTGTGTAATGTCAAGTCAAAATGATCGTTTCCAGTGCTTGTAAAGCCACGGTGTGTTCGTTTGTTTGGTCCTGAAGAACAGGAATCATTCAGGATTCTTTTAAGTCTGATTGTTTTTCTGAGTAACTCTGAATTGTGTTGAATGAAATCAGGGCCTGCTCATGTGATTGAAAGACAAGGTAGCTGATGTAGTATTTCACTACTTCTCCATCGGAATTTCCTGTTCGTGACTCTGGTCAGCTGGCATCCAGTTCCACGAGAGCTTCATAACGAAGGAATACTAGTGCTACTTTTAATATTATGGCTACATGTGTAAAAACGGTAAAGAAGAATTGGTTGCTTGGAACCTAGAACATTTTTTTCAAGACTTGGATCATGGATTCGCCTACTCGGCATTTTAGCAGTGATAAAAATATGACTTTATTTTTGTTTTCGCTGACCATTTAAGCTATTTTTACCCGATATTCATATGTGGATCTGTGAAGATACATTACAACTCCGGTAGGGAGTGTATAGGTTATATATGGACATAAGATGACTGGCTGAAGAAATAGTTTGTATTTGGTTACAGTATCTCTTGTCCGGTAAATAAAACATAACAATTAGTTGTTATCACCTGCTTTGGTGTTAATTGTATTTTCAATTTACTTTAATTCTTTGGGTAAGTACAAGGGAGTGTTGTTCTGATCTCTGATCCAAGTTGGTAACGGTTGGCCTGTTAACATTTAAGGAAATATTTAGACTGTTTGTTGTGGTTTGTGACGAGGTAAGTGATTGGGTTGACAAATGTGATGTATCAGTCGTTTTGGGTGTCACTGTATTACTGAACTTGCGGAAAGGTCACAAAGAGGAATACATGGATCCACCATTCGGACAGTATTACAAGGTAATATACTTCCCAGTATTGACAGGAGTAGTTCCAAGTACTGATAGAAATACTTCTAGAACTGAAAGGAATACTGCCTAAAACTGACAGTATTTAGAATGCCGCCATATAGCTGGAATATTGGTGAGTGTGGCATCAAACTAAACTGACTCACTCCTAGAACTGAAAGGAATACTGCCTAAAACTGACAGTAATTAGACCGCCACCATATAGCTGGAATATTGCTGAGTGCAGCTTAAAACTAAACTCACTCACTCCTAGAACTGAAAGGAATACTGCCTAAAACTGACAGTAATTAGACCGCCACCATATAGCTGGAATATTGCTGAGTGCAGCTTAAAACTAAACTCACTCACTCCTAGAACTGAAAGGAATACTGCCTAAAACTGACAGTAATTAGACCGCCACCATATAGCTGGAATATTGCTGAGTGCAGCTTAAAACTAAACTCACTCACTCACTCCTAGATCTGAAAGGAATGCTGCCTAAAACTGACAGAATATTTCCTAAACCTGGCAATAACACGGTCTGGTGGAATGGTAATACACCCAGCATACATCAAGATGTGTTCATAGGAACAGACACTCCGGCTGGGCCACGACTGGTTTATTGGATGTGTTTTGGTTACAGTACTGGATATGTGCAGGAATGTTGGATTTCCAACAAACATTCTAATGGTCAAGTCTGCAATGATGCAAGTCTGACCAACAACATGATACATGCGATGTCCTACAATGTCAGACGCAATATTTTACGTTTACAGAGATGAAGAACAAATGAAGAACAGGTTATCGTGTCCTGTAAAATACAGAGTCAAACTGACAGCTTCATTCTGAAATGCCGTTGTTGTGTCTAATGTCAGTGGGGTGGTGGGGTAGCCTAATGGTTAAAGTGTCGGCTCGTCACACTGACGACCCGGGTTCGATTCCCATATGGGCACAATGTGTGAAGCCCATTTATGGTGTCCCCCGCCATGATATTGCTGGAATATTGCTAAAAGCGGCGTAAAACCCAACTCACTCACTCACTCTAATGTCAGTGGTGATGTTGCCAGTGTCTGATGAAGCCAGTGTGTCTTTTGCAGCCTAATACTAATACTATAACAATAAAATAATGTCTGTGACAATAAAGACAATGCCATGTTACATGTATTACCCTAATGTATTATTGTAACAAATATTTTGTTTTACCCTGCAAGAGTAACACATGCAATCTGTTTATCCTATAACCAAAGCCTACTATCCTAGCTTTTTGTCCTGAAAAGGGAACACACTTGGTTATATCCTATAAAGATAACAGATTTAGTTGGTTTATCCTGCAAGGGTAACGCATACAATTTCGTTTTATCCTAAAGGACAATGCATAAAATGTGTTTTATCCTACAAGGAAAATAACAAAAAAACACAATTTGTTTTATCCTACAAGGATATAATTTGTTTTATCCTACAAGGATATAATTTGTTTGTCCTACTAGGATAACACAAACAATTTGTGTTATCCAATAAGGGTAACAAATACATTGTTTCATGCTGCAAGGATATTGTCACGAGGGTAACACACATGATCAGTATGATGCTGCAAGATCACAATATATGTATCTATAAGTTTAGAGGGGCGGTGACTTAGCCTCATGGTTAAAGCGCCCCCTTGTTATGCTGAAGACCCGGGTTCGATTCCCCACATGGGTACAATGTGTGAAGCCCATTTCTAGTGTCCCCGCAGTGATGTGGCTGGAATATTGCTGTAAAATCATACTCACTCACTGTAATATTAGGTTAACAGAGATACAGAACAAATGAAAAACATGTTACCATGTCCTGTGAAAAAAACAGTCATAGAATGGCTACACATGATGCTACAGTGTTGTGATCAGACAGACAGACAGACAGACGTTAACTCTTGTGATCAAGCTGCTGTGATGGCTTGTACCCTGGTGTGATCTTGTTACATGCCTACATTTCATGAGCTCAAGCCTGACCTTCAACATTTTCACCCAGACGGCCAGTTTTCATTTTGTGTTCTGAAAAGATTGATGAAATGTTTTGTTGAATAAATTGTATAGGTAGAATTTTGATGAAATTTCAAGTTGTATTGTAAAAATGATTGGCGTCTCAATATCGCCTAACTGAACAGTTGCCTCCCCTGTTTTTGTTCTCACAATCCCTCTGAATATAGGCCCAGTCAACATCTCCACACACGGACAGCTCTTGTCTTGCATCATGGAATCTGACACTGTCCATGCAGCCCTGTTAATGTGAAGAACATGTACATGATATGCTTGTTCATATCATCTTGTAAATACGCCCAGTGCACACTCATGGTCAGGTGTGACAGTGGTGACTGCAGTGTATACCACTCAGAAGAAGAAGAAGTAAAAGGCCTGCCCTATTAATCAGTTATATGAATATTCTCTGACTTGTTTTGAGTAGTATGTATATCCCTGTTGTGACTGGACAAGGACTCTGTTGTCACTGTCATTTATTTCATGATTTTAGTTCCGAGAACTTGTTATTATCTTGTTTTCATAACACACCTTTTATAATATAAGTATTGTTTCTGCGAGAGGTGTCACTCCACAGATCATAAATTATTAGATATCTAATCTGTGTTGCTTTTTCATCCATGTGTGCAATATACCAGCTATATGATGGCTGTGTGTGCAATATACCTGCTATATGATGGCTGTGTGCAATATACCCGCTATATGACGGCTGTGTGCAATATATCCGCTATATGATGGCTGTGTGTGCAATATACCTGCTATATGATGGCTGTGTGCAATATACCAGCTATATGATGGCTGTGTGCAATATACCCGCTATATAATTGCTGTTTGTCCAATATACATGCCATATGATGGCTGTGTGTGCAATATACACGCTATATGATGGTTGTGTGTGCAATTTACCCGCTCAATGATGGCTGTGTGTGCAACATACCAACTCAATGATGAATGATGGCTGTTTGTCCAATATACCTGCTATGATGGCTGTGCAATAAACCCGTTATATGATTGCTGTGTGCAATATACACGCTATGTGATGGCTGTGTGCAATATACACGCTATATGATTGCTGTGTGCAATAAACCCGTTATATGATTGCTGTGTGCAATATACACACTATATGATGGCTGTGTGCAATATACACGCTATATTATGGCTGTGTGCAATATACCCGCTCAATGATGGCTGTTTGTCCAATATACCCGCTCAATGATGGCTGTTTGTCCAATATACCCGCTACATGATAGCTGTGTGCAATATACCTGTTATATGATTGCTGTTTGTCTATAAACATCTAGAGACACCAAAGTCATACATCAGGATCCTCTTCGTTGACTTTTCATCTGCATTCAACACTATCCAGCCACATATCATGATACAGAAACTGTTAGACATGGGCATTAACTGATACCACATCAAGTGGATCGAAAACTTTCTTGTGGACAGACAGCAGTACGTGAAGGTTAACGGGGCTGTATCGAGTAAACGGACCAGCAACACTGGTGCACCACAAGGCTGTGTAATATCTCCTGTTCTTTTCACCCTCTACACTAATGATTGTGCAAGCTCGAATTCAACCTGTTCAACTGTAAAGTTCGCAGATGATGCAGCAATTGTCCGCAAACTGAACGACACTGACTCTGAAGAACTGTATTAATCATTTGACGACTTGGTGTGCAGAAAACCACTTACTCTTAAATGTCACAAAAACAAAGGAAGTAAACCCACAGAAATGCTTCCAGTGATAATCAACGGTGAATGTGTTGAGACGGTGTCGGAGTATAAGTATCTGGGAACCTTCATTGACTCTAAGCTGAACTGGAACTCTAACACTGAAGCCCTATACAAAAAGTGTCAACATCTTCATCTCATGCCTAAACATATCTTTTAATGTTAACCCATCTGTGATGTCATCTTTTTATGTAGCATTTATTCAGTGTATTTTAATTTTTTCCTTCCATTGTTGGTACGGGTCTCTCTCAGTTCATCTCAAATCTAAAATAGACAAAATTGTTAACACTGCAAGTAAAATCGCTGGAGTCAGATTGAATGTTTATCATCAATATATGAGCTGCAAATCGTGAATCAAGCTGTTAAAATCATATCTGACCATACTCACTACTTAAATTCGGAATACAACCTCCTCCCTTCAGGCCGCCGCTACAAAGTTCCAATTGTGAAAACTAATAGAGCCCGTACATCCTTTATTCCAAGTACCATATCTCTCTTAAACCAATGTGAAGATGCCTAAATCAAAGAATTTATGTAAATATGTTTGGTATCTCTCTATTGTGTCAGTAGCTCTGCTGATGTAACACAAATTCCTGAAAAGGCATTAAAGTATTATTCTATTCTATTCTATTCTATTCTATTCTATTCTATTATGGCTGTGTGCAATATACCGGCTATATGATGGCTGTGTGCAATATACCGGCTATATGATGGCTGTGTGCAATATACCGGCTATATGATGGCTGTGTGCAGTATACCCGCTATATGATGGCTGTGTGCAATATACCCGCTAAATGATGGCTGTGAGTGCAATATACCCGCTCAATGAAGGCTATGTATGCAATATATCCGCTCAATGATGGCTGTATGTGCAATATACCCATTATATCTGTGCAATATACCCGCTATGTGATGGCTGTGTGCAATATACCCGTTATATGATGGCTGTGTGCAATATACCCATTATATGATGTCTGAGTATAGATTTTGCGTGACTATGTGATGGCTGTGTGAAATATACCTGCTCAATGATGGCTGTTTGTGAAATATACCTGCGTAATGATGGCTGTGTGTGCAATATACCTGCGCAATGATGGCTGTGTGTGCAATATACCTGCTATGTGATGGTTGTGTGTGCAAGATACCCATTAGATGATGTCTGAGTGTGCAATATACCCGCTCAATGATGGCTGTGTGTGCAATATACCCGTTATATGATGTCTGTGTAATATACCTGCTCAATGATGGCTGATGTGCAATATGCCCATTATATTGTCTCAGTGTGCAATATACCTGCTATGTGATGGCTGTTTGTGAAATATACCCGCTATATGATGTCTGAGTGTGCAATATACCTGCTATGTGATGGCTGTTTGTGAAATATACCCGCTATATGATGTCTGAGTGTGCAATATACCTGCTATGTGATGGCTGTTTGTGAAATATACCCGCTATATGATGTCTGAGTGTGCAATATACCCGCTATGTGATGGCTGTTTGTGAAATATACCCGCTATGTGATGGCTGTTTGTGAAATATACCCGCTATATGATGTCTGAGTGTGCAATATACCCGCTATATGATGTCTGAGTGTGCAATATACCCGCTATGTGATGGCTGTTTGTGAAATATACCCGCTATACGATGTCTGAGTGTGCAATATACCTGCTATACGATGTCTGAGTGTGCAATATACCCGCTATATGATGTCTGAGTGTGCAATATACCCGCTATGTGATGGCTGTTTGTGAAATATACCCGCTATATGATGTCTGAGTGTGCATATACCCGCTATGTGATGGCTGTTTGTGAAATATACCCGCTATATGATGTCTGAGTGTGCAATATACCCGCTATGTGATGGCTGTTTGTGAAATATACCCGCTATGTGATGGCTGTTTGTGAAATATACCCGCTATGTGATGGCTGTGTGAAATATGCTTGCTATGTGATGGCTGTGTGGGCAATATACCCACTATATAATGGCTGTGCATGCAGTAAATCCTCTTCATGACTGTGTATGCTATATACCCATTATATGATGGCTGTGTGTTCTATATAACCGCTATATGATGGCTGTGTGTGCAATAATAATATATCAGCTATATGCAACATACCCGCTATGTGTACAATATATTTCTAGTGTCCCCAGATATTGCAGAAAAATTGCTAAAGGAGTGCAAAACCCATCTCACTGACTCATGCACTTGTATTTGAAGCTCCACTGGTTGCAGCGAGTTTCTCTGTTGTTTGGTCAACATAATCTCTATAGTGTAGCAGTCCTCTTGCATTTGTTAACATTAAGACTGACTGACTGAGTTAAGTTTTACGCCGCTTTTAGCAATATTCCAGCAATATCATGACGGGGGACACCAGAAATGGGCTTAACACATTGTGCCCATGTGGGGAATCGAACCCGGGTCTTCGGCGTGACGAGACAACGCTTTAACCACTAGGCTACCCCACCGCCCCGTTAACATTAAGAACATACAAATGACCTTCTGTCAACACTGTTGCAAGCAGCATCAGTATGATTTGCTCGCGTATACGGTGAATCCCTTCCATCAGAACAATTCATTACTCAACATCACTAGAATCAAACATTTATGAATTTTTAAAAGAGAGTGTTTTACTTGAATCTGAGTGTTATTTATCAGAACGAAATATGCTAAATGGAATATATCCACACCAGTCTGGATGATAGTTAACACTCTTTTATATTTAATCTGACAGCAGTTCACTGGTAATAAATGAACGCTGTCAAAAATGGTAAAAAGATGTGAAATAAATGTATTTTGTTCTGATTAAACTGAATAATACATCAAATGCTGACAAGTATTTGCAATATTTGTACTCAGTACCCAGTATTCATTATATGTATCATATTCACCTCATAGTGGATTCATTGCAGCCGACCTGTGAATTATAATTGATCTTCAGTAACCCATGCTTGTCGTAAGAGGCGACTAACTGCATTGGGTGGTCAGCTTTGCTGACTTGGTTGACACGTCATCATATCCCAATTGCATAGATTGATGCTCATGCTGTTGATCACTGGATTGTCTGGTCCAGACTCAATTTACAGACCGCCGCCATATAGCTGGAATATTGCAGAATGCAGCGTAAAACTAAAAACTAACTCACTTATTGAAGCCCTAATCAGTACCAACTTGATAAACAACAAAATATTCTTGTCACAAAGTCTAACAATATTTATTCAATAAAAGGTACCTTGATTGGAAACGTTGTCACAAGTATGTGTAACCATGTTTCACATGTCATTGCACTTGTCTCCATATTTGAGAACCTGCGGTGATAAACAGAACACAAAAAAGCACATCGACGAATTGGGAGAGCTTTCAGAACGTTTTTTACAGAATTCAGACAAGTTTTTTTTAATCAAATTCGAACCATTCAGAATGAAAACAACAGTACATTGAACTAGTCATATAGAAAGGTTGTCCCTCAAAATATATTCACACTCAATCCGTGCAAAATCTCTCGCTTCGGTTTAATATTAATTGTTATGATCTGGTAAAAGTGATTGTTTTAACATACTAGAAAATATTTTCACCTGAATAATACCGGTTTGACTGTTTCACTGGTCTTGATTCACTGGTCTACGACTACCATTGCTTTGTAAAGTCATCATGAACAAGACATGTTCTTTGGATTCTCAAATCATTCACGCTTCCAAAACAATGCCATTCAAAAATAATTATTTATCCACACTCTGGGAAAAATAACCGTATGATAAATCATTACTTTGTTGTGGCCATACATGGTGTAAGTCCATATTTCACACTGGTCCAAAACAAGTCATAACATACCAGCAGCCCATGTGATACGGACTCACAGCCCATTAGGCAAGACTCTTGAAGAAATTGGTTTTCGGGATTCATGGACCTTAACAAAGTATAGAAGAATGGCGGAAACCAACTGAACCTGATAGTTGAATTGACGCTCTGTTTTTTTACAATATATCTATCTGCAACCTTTGGCTTCATAAATAATGCACACTACCCAGACATTCTAATTCTTCCATTTTATTTCTATTTCCACATACTGACCAAGATCTTTCTGAAAAATATCCGTAAACCAGCCAGGCCAAACCAGGCTAAATAAGATTCATGATTTCTGAAAATCTTTACAGGACGATCATGATCTTTGCGCAAATTGTTTGACCAGAGTTCAGTCTCCTGTAATCTACAATGACGTTCAGTCACATTACCTGTAAGTTTTACTTTACAAAGACATACACATGTTCTTACACTTGTAAAAAAACATTCTAGTTTGTGTTGCAGATTCTTTCTCCTTACTGACAAAACAACCTTCAACAAGACATGAATAAAGTATAACAAATGATCGCACATGAATCCATTACAAACAATAAAACAAGTATAAAATAAATAAACTTGACAAATAACCAGATGACATTTTGTACACACCAGACGTTTCAAGGGAATCTCGCTAATTTTGTCAAGTAATCAAACTTACCCTAAAATGACTAAGATTTGATAAAACTGTCACATGAACCAATTTAATATAAGATCCATCCAATGTAAGCTAATATCAATATTGATCAGTCTTTGAAGATGGATGGGTGTGGTGTAACTCGTAACTTTATCAATACATCATCAGTTTCATCTGCAGCATACTGCAACCATTTTGACAAAGGTCAAGGACATTTGCTGAAGAAAGGGACACAACTCAAGTGAGTCTGCTTTCACTCACTAACCATTTGCGTACTTGACAAACATTATCAAACGTACAAATTTTGTTGACAATATTTAACTGAGAGCTTTAACTGCATCTTCCAGTAAGATACAGACCAGTTCCCCGTAACTATTTCAACCAACATCAACACCCAACGAATGAAAACACATCCATGCAGGTATGCTTTTTTCTTCATAAAGAAATGAAGATACATATTTGTGTGACATTTTAACAATAGCCATTACAAGCATGGGTTATACAAAAAAGTCAACTCCCACTAACTTCATTTTGAGTGAGACATCCAGAGGTATAATTCTATTTGTCATAAACAAACAACATCAAAACATGGAACAGAACTTGTGAAAAATTAATATAAAATGAAAAATTCGGAAAATATTTCCAGACAATCTAGTTTAAGTTGGACAAATTTAACTTCAGTCATTATAAAGATTGGTTTGGATAGATTCTTACTAGGACAAAGCGCAAACACAGAATTCCAGTATACTTTGGTAGCGATTGATCCTAGAGTTGTCTCCCTTGGATGCTCATGAACATATACCCGTTTTCAGATCAGTAGTTAGACATAAATATACACCTTACACTGTGGTCTCTTGTGAATGGGTTTTGAGAAATTCCATTCATGTTAAAACTTTAAGTAGGAAAGATTTGGATTTGAACACATTTCATATCTATAAATAACCTTCATGGATACTATTAGTCCATCTGCATTAAACAATGAGTATTCCCGATGAGACAGTCATCATTGTCTTCACTGATTAAAAGCTGTAACAATAGCTTGCATGCGTATGTTGATGTTTCAAAGAATAGAAACCAAACACATTATTTGAATTTTTGGTAGAGACGCTGTGTAAATTTTGGGTCCATGTCACCATTTGACAGAAAATATTTCTTTAAAATCAAAATCTATTACACAATTAGAATACATCGCTCATACTAAACTAAAAGTTGTGTCTGTCTGAAAACAAGAACAAAAATCCTAGAAAAGCTTTTGCAATGTTCAATGCGATATATAGTAAGTTGGGAGGGAAGTATCATATCACTCTGCCATTATAATAAATGCACTTCAACAAGCTTAGGGAACAGTTGTTGGCCGCCAGCACAAGATGGCCACCGTGTGAGGCTAGTACAGCTAACATCCACAAACATCTTCTTGTACAGTTATTAGCATAAATAGGGTCTGTCTTCAATAAAAACACTATAGCTTTAGGAGCTGGAGGGGAGATAACTCCAAAGGCCCACTCATTCACTTGTCGTGGGTTATCCCCCCTTGAGCTTGACATTCGGTGCTGTAATCACACAATCAGTACATTTCTGGGTTTGGGGGTGGTTAGGCCTCTGTGTCATCTCCTTCGTGGCCCTTGAGGCGAAGGCGAGCAAAGTCCTCGAATATAAAGTCGTCATCCTTGTCGCCATAGAATGCCTCTCCGCTGAAATCATAATATATCAACAGTATAGCGATTGTTCAACACATACATTGATGAGGTTTTAACAGAACTAATTTATTTTATCATTTTATAGATAATAAACTTTGAATATTATTTACATGTGTAATACAACGTTACTGCAACAGCTATTGGATATGTATGTAGGGCTTGGTTTAAGTGTTTTGTATCCAACAATATTCCAGCTCTACAACAATGGGTGGTGAATAACAATGGCCCAGTCTGGACCAGGCAATCAAGTGATTGACCTCATGAGCATCGATCTATGCAACTGGGAAATGTTGACATGCATCAACCAAGTCGACCGCCTCCGTGGTGTAGTGGTTAGAGGGTCCGCCCGGAGAGCGGAAGGTCGCGTGTTCGATCCCCGACCGCGTCATACCAAAAGACGTTAAAATATGGTACTTGTTGGTCCCTGCCTGGCGCTCGGCATTAATGGGTACAACAAGGACTGGTCGGCTCGGAGTCAGTATACTGTGTCTGAGTGGGGTATTCATGCTTCACTGCGGCATGGTATCTCAGTGGGCTAGCACTATAAAACCAGCTTAAGGTTTGGGCTAGTACAAGCAGCCGCACATACACATACACACACATGCACGTCGTCATATGAGCGAAATATTCTCAAGCACGACATTAAACCCAATATCACCTCACCTCAACCAAGTCAGCGGGCCTGACCACCCGATCCCATAAATCACCTCTTCAAACCCACAATGACTGAATCAAACAAAGGAATTCCAGGACACCAGAAATGGGCTTCACACATTGTACCCATGTTGGGAATTGAACCCGGGTCTTCGGTGTGACGAGCAAACGCTACTAGGCTACCCCACCGCCCCAGCAATTCATTACAAATATAGAGTAACATTACACTATGAGAGCAGGTACAAAGTAACATTATACAAAGGGAGGTAACTGACTTTGTGTCGAGCTGTATGAGGTTGGTGTCGACTGGAGCGTCTCCCCCTTCTGCGGGCACCAGACTTGCTGGGCGTGATGGGGGTGGGGACTCTGGGGGCTTGGGGTGCGTCAACGTGAATGGCAACTCCACCGACAGGTCCCTGGAAACAGGATAAAGCAGCACTATCATACATGAAACAAATCAACCTATCTCACAAACCCACACTGTAGTGAGCTGGCGTTTATCCATGTAGAGATAATAACAAGTCATCTTGAACACTGTTGCAGTTATATTCAGTCATGTTGACACGATGATCCATGGGAAGAAAATAACAAGTGTGTGCTGATCCATGGTGTTTATCCATGTGGAGAAACCTCTGAGCAAAATTATAGTACTTATGTTAATCCTTCAAATTCAAATTATTTTAACATTTTATGAGATTAATCACATTTAGCACATAATCAACCTGTAAGATGAAGCAAGTCTGAATTAACTTCATTTTGGATTTCATTTTCCTCTAAAAGCTGATAACATTCACATTACAAGGGTTAGTGTGTGCTGATCCATGGGATAGGAACTTTTAGCTGTTTGAATTAAATCCATTTTCATAACTGACCCTTCAAAAGACAATATATTACCTGTGTTGTGAAACAAGAGATAAGATTAACACTCAACCTGTAAGATGAAGCAAGCAATTCTTTAAATCATTCAATATATACTGCCACAGCACGATCAGCTTACCCAGATCCAAATCCCAGAATGAGCTTGACCTTGACCCTGTAGGAGACGACGATGCCGAGACTCTCTTTCTGACTACTGTCAGTCATTCTGTTAAGTAAAGAAAACATTATTCAATATCACAAAGTGATTTGATGCTATTTTACGTGTGTCTGTAATATTACTGTTCACCTAGAAATAACTGGGTCTTGGCATAGCAAACCAGCGGTTAATGTGAGAGACATTCCCACCATCTGTAGAGTAGTTTGTAGAAAATGTTTTATCCAGAACACTTTTTTTTCGGTTGTACACATGTACATTTACATTCACAGTTAAAACATCAGACCTGCACATCCAGAACCAGATATTTACTGGTTTGAGTTTCAAGTTTTGGCAAAAATTGCTGCACAAACCAATACTTGAACAAGTACCCCGGCTTGTCAAATCTAAACATTTTCACCAAGAAACAGTGTTTATCTATGAGTATGCATGAGAAATTTCCATATCTATAAACATATGACACATTTCAATACGAGTGAGTGAGTATGATTTAACGCTGCTTTTAGCAATATTCCAGCAATATCATGGCAGGTAATGCCAGAAATGGGCTTCACACATTGTACCATGTGGGGAGTCGAACCCGGATCTTCGACGTGACAAGTGAACACGCATTAACCACTAGGCTACCCCACTGCCCCCATCTCCATAAGAGATTAAAGCTTCATTAATTTACAAACACACACAGCTGAAACTAATGTTAACAAATCCTGTTGAACCGAAACCATTATACAGTTAGGCGGCATACCAACAAGAGTGTCAGAATACTCAGACCTTGTAAGTGTGCTCATGTTGTTCATAACAGGACAAATTTATTTCTAAAAGTATTAGTACCATGAACTCTTTTTAGACTATATTTGGTATTTACATATCAGAGGGAGTGCTGAAGGAAACAATCAATCCAACTTAAACCTTTCGAAATATTCAACAATCCAAAGAGAATTGATGAGCGTTAAAAAAGAAAGTAAATTAATCAATGATATTTTTGGGTATCATAAAAATCCATATATTTAATCACTATACATAAAGATGTCAGCTCCACTCGGGGCTACAACTTGTAATTAGGAGAAGCAGAGGGATGAAGAGGATGAGCATCACTAGCATCACCCATGCCCTTGAGACAGGTCAGCGTGATTAGGTCACCATCATGATGCCCACTTTGAAGGGAGAGGTGAAAACCAGATAAATCTTTGTTCACTCAATTTCTTATCAATTAAAACATCCAACTGATGGTTGCTATGGGTGTAACCAACCCCATCCAACTGATGGTTGCTATGGGTGTAACCAACCCCCATTAAATTGACAGTTGCTAAGGTAGTAACTAACACCCATCCAACTGATGGTTGCTATGGACATAATTAACCTCCAACTCAGCTGATGGTTGCCATGGTGTAACTAACCCCATCCAACTGATGGTTGCTATGGACATAATTCACCTCCAACTCAGCTGATGGTTGCCATGGTGTAACTAACCCCATCCAACTGATGGTTGCTATGGACATAATTCACCTCCAACTCAGCTGATGGTTGCCATGGTGTAATTAACACCCATCCAACTGATGGTTGCTATGGACATAATTAACCTCCAACTCAGCTGATGGTTGCCATGGTGTAACTAACCCCATCCAACTGATGGTTGCTATGGACATAATTAACCTCCCAACCCAGCTAATGGTTGCCAGGGTGTAACTAACCCCATCCAACTGACAGTTGCTATGGATATAATTAACCTCCCAACCCAGCTAATTGTTGCCAGGATGTAACTAACCCCATCCAACTGATGGTTGCTATGGACATAATCAACCTCCAACTCAGCTGATGGTTGCCATGGTGTAACTAACCCCATCCAACTGATGGTTGCTATGGACATAATTAACCTCCCAACCCAGCTAATGGTTGCCAGGGTGTAACTAACCCCATCCAACTGATGGTTGCTATGGACATAATTACCTCCCAACCCTGCTAATTGTTTCCAGGGTGTAACTAACCCCATCTAACTGACAGTTGCTATGGACATAATTAACTTTCAACGCAGCTGATGGTTGCCAGGGTGTGACTGTCTTGATAAGAAATGCAAACATTGTCGCATTCAGTTGATGCCTTCCTCCCACGTAACACCTCAAGAGTATCCTACATCACTGTGTTCATCCTACCAAACACGGTCAGGCAAACATATCTTGACATAAACACTGGTATTGTTTCAAACTGCCTTTCTGGCACTTTTGTAGAACATGTAACGGAAAATGGCAATTCTCCGTCACCATGGCAACAGATTAGCCTATAGATACCATGGTGGATGATTATTTGGTTACGTGTCTCACTGGATGAGTGCCGTGATGGCACACTCGGCCCACAGAGGACAACTATCATGCAACATTCTATCAAAAGTTTAAAGTGACTATTTTTTTTACTTTCTATGATTAAGATTCTTCATTCTATACTCCTGAGAGAAAGGGCTTTTGTAAAGAAGTTAAAATATACAGTGCAGATTCTACAGTGATTACTTTCTTTCTGTAACGGTGTTTCAGCTACATACTAAAAGGAAGGATAACAATACAGGGCTCGATTTAGTGCTTTGTTACTTGCACTGGTGCAACCCAATATTACACAATGCAACATAGTTATTAGTCTAACTAAATTTTTGAGACTTCAGCTGGAAAACAGAATGATGAGGAACTGACTTGGAAGAGTGACTCTGATGACTGTATGAGCAGTGACTGAAGGACTTACTGTTCATGACATTTTAGGAAGTAAGATAACTAATCTTATCAGTCCCAGATTTCTTTTGTTATAATGTTCTAAACTATCATTACCAAAACTCAAGCATCATATTTTATACAAGATTATATAGTGAGGAGCAGGTGCAACCTGTCTTTATCTGATGCAACAAGGTTTCTACCAAGTAGGTTTCATTTCTTTAAATCGAGCCCTGCAATATATGGATGAACTTCTTTATTGCAACTATTATTCTTTATTATGGATCATGTTCATCCATATATTGTTATCCTTCCTTACTGTTCCAACTTCTAAATGCCTCTGAAAGAAGTTACTCACTAAAACCTTTAAGGGAAGCTCATTATAAAACTGATGATTGCAGTTGAGTTGGTACAGCAGATAAATGTCTTGTTTTCTACTTTCTTAAATTAATCAGAGTAATATTCAACATTTAACCTAAAAACATAAAACACAAACAATACAAATACAAGGCACATCATTGTGCCTCGTACAGAACCCTTGACCCAAACAACTCTGCACAAGACGAGGCATAGGCACACTATTGCATTCTGGGAAAGGCCTGACCCAGGTGAAGGTCATCAAGATCTATGACTGACACTAATGTTTCTCTAAGCTCTGCTTCAGGAGAGGGCCAAATCAATGATGCCAAGCCGTTAAAACTTGTACACGTCACTGTTACAACCATCCAATCTGCAGTTCGATCATAAGTGATTTAACTGACAAGCCACTGATATATATGATCTTTTCATGATCAAACCCATAAGCTCCATCTTACAATATACGTGTTATATAGCATTTACATTTATGAGAGACAATCTACTTCCATGAGCTGGTCCATGTTTTCTGCTAATGATTTTTTTCTGGTGTAAAAATCGATCTTTCAAATCAAAGTGATATTCAAGCAGATTAGAGTTTGCACCAATCAATACTAGTCTGATGAATCTGTTTGCAGCAAGTGACTTGGTGTAATCTACGTCACAGTGTCTAGACGCACATCAATGTTAGATATCGCCACTGATGGCTCAAAGCTGTTCATCCACGTTGTTTTCCCTACCTGACAAGACTTAAGTAAGGACCAAGTTCAGAGTTATCCCTTCATGTTTTCGGTCAATGGCACAGTGAACAAGATGAGTCTGCCGTCTGCAGACGTCAGGGTACATGGGCTGTCTGACTGCCTCTACAGTGAGAGGCACAGCAGTGAACAAGATGAGTCTGGTGTCTGCAGACATCAGGGTACATGGGCTGTCTGACTGCCTCTACAGTGAGAGACGGCAGACGTCAGGGTACAAGATGAGTCTGTACATGCTGTCTGACTGCAGACAGTGAGGCAGTGAACAAGATACATGTCTGGACTCAGGGTCTGACTGCCTCTACGCACAGCAGTGAACAAGATGAGTCTGGTGTCTGCAGGCGCCAGGGTACATGGGCTGTCTGACTGCCTCTACAGTGAGAGCACAGCAGTGAACAAGATGAGTCTGTCTGCAGACGTCACTGGGATCGCCAGGGTACATGGGCTGTCTGACTGCCTCTACAGTGAGAGACACAGCAGTGAACAAAGATGAGTCTGCTGTCTGCAGGCCGTCTGACTGCCATCAGGGTACATGGGCTGTCTGACTGCCTCTACAGTGAGAGACACAGCAGTGAACAAGATGAGTCTGGCTGTCTGTACATGGGCTGTCTGACTGCCTCTACAGTGAGAGACACAGCAGTGAACAAGATGAGTCTGCTGTCTGCAGATGTCAGGGTACATGGGCTCTGACTGCCTCTACAGTGAGAGTGCACAGCAGTGAACAAGATGAGTCTGGTGTCTGCAGACGTCAGGGTACATGGGCTGTCTGACTGCCTCTACAGTGAGAGGCACAGCAGTGAACAAGGTGTCTGCTGTCAGAGTCAGTCAGGGCATGGGTGTCAGGGTACATGGGCTGTCTGACTGCCTCTACAGTGAGAGACAGCACAGCAGTGAACAAGATGGAGTCTGACTGTCTCTACAGTGCGAGTGGAACAGATGGCAGGGTCTGCAGACGCCAGGGTACATGGGCTGTCTGACTGCCTCTACAGTGAGAGCACAGCAGTGAACAAGATGAGCCTGCTGTCTGCAGGCGTCAGGGTACATGGGCTGTCTGACTGCCTCTACAGTGAGAGACACAGCAGTGAACAAGAGAGACTGCAGACGCCAGGGCAGACTGCCTCTACAGTGAGAGAGGCACAGCAGTGAACAAGATGAGTCTGCTGTCTGCAGACGTCAGGGTACATGGGCTGTCTGACTGCCTCTACAGTGAGAGACACAGCAGTGAACAAGATGAGTCTGCTGTCTGCAGACGTCAGGGTACATGGGCTGTCTGACTGCCTCTACAGTGAGAGACACAGCAGTGAACAAGATGAGTCTGCTGTCTGCAGATGTCAGGGTACATGGGCTGTCTGACTGCCTCTACAGTGAGAGACACAGCAGTGAACAAGATGAGTCTGCTGTCTGCAGACGTCAGGGTACATGGGCTGTCTGACTGCCTCTACAGTGCCTCACAGCAGTGAACAAGATGAGACATCAGGGTACATGGGCTGTCTGACAGCAGCAGTGAACAAGATGAGCCTGCTGTCTGCAGACGTCAGGGTACATGGCCTGTCTGACTGCCTCTACAGTGAGAGACACAGCAGTGAACAAGATGAGTCTGCTGTCTGCAGACGTCAGGGTACATGGGCTGTCTGACTGCCTCTACAGTGAGAGACACAGCAGTGAACAAGATGAGTCTGCTGTCTGCAGATGTCAGGGTACATGGGCTGTCTGACTGCCTCTACAGTGAGAGACACAGCAGTGAACAAGATGAGTCTGCTGTCTGCAGACGTCAGGGTACAGGGGCTGTCTGACTGCCTCTACAGTGAGCGACACAGCAGTGAACAAGATGAGTCTGGTGTCTGCAGACATCAGGGTACATGGGCTGTCTGACTGCCTCTACAGTGAGAGACACAGCAGTGAACAAGATGAGTCTGCTGTCTGCAGACGTCAGGGTACAGGGGCTGTCTGACTGCCTCTACAGTGAGAGACACAGCAGTGAACAAGATGAATCTGGTGTCTGCAGACGTCAGGGTACATGGGCTGTCTGACTGCCTCTACAGTGAGAGACACAGCAGTGAACAAGATGAGTCTGGTGTCTGCAGATGTCAGGGTACATGGGCTGTCTGACTGCCTCTACAGTGAGAGGCACAGCAGTGAACAAGATGAGTCTGCTGTCTGCAGACGTCAGGATACATGGGCTGTCTGACTGCCTCTACAGTGAGAGGCACAGCAGTGAACAAGATGAGTCTGCTGTCTGCAGACGTCAGGGTACATGGGCTGTCTGACTGCCTCTACAGTGAGAGACACAGCAGTGAACAAGATGAGTCTGCTGTCTGCAGACGTCAGGGTACATGGGCTGTCTGACTGCCTCTACAGTGAGAGGCACAGCAGTGAACAAGATGAGTCTGCTGTCTGCAGATGTCAGGGTACATGGGCTGTCTGACTGCCTCTACAGTGAGAGGCACAGCAGTGAACAAGATGAGTCTGCTGTCAGCAGATGTCAGGGTACATGGGCTGTCTGACTGCCTCTACAGTGAGCGACACAGCAGTGAACAAGATGAGTCTGGTGTCTGCAGATGTCAGGGTACATGGGCTGTCTGACTGCCTCTACAGTGAGAGACACAGCAGTGAACAAGATGAGTCTGCTGTCTGCAGATGTCAGGGTACATGGGCTGTCTGACTGCCTCTACAGTGAGAGGCACAGCAGTGAACAAGATGAGTCTGCTGTCTGCAGACGTCAGGGTACAGGGGCTGTCTGACTGCCTCTACAGTGAGAGACACAGCAGTGAACAAGATGAGTCTGCTGTCTGCAGACGTCAGGGTACATGGGCTGTCTGACTGCCTCTACAGTGAGAGGCACAGCAGTGAACAAGATGAGTCTGCTGTCTGCAGACGTCAGGGTACATGGGCTGTCTGACTGCCTCTACAGTGAGAGACACAGCAGTGAACAAGATGAGTCTGCTGTCTGCAGGCGATCAGGGGTACAGGGGCTGTCTGACTGCCTCTACAGTGAGAGACACAGCAGTGAACAAGATGAGTCTGCGGTCTGCAGATGTCAGGGTACATGGGCTGTCTGACTGCCTCTACAGTGAGAGACACAGCAGTGAACAAGATGAGGTGAGAGACACAGCAGTGAACAAGATGAGTCTGGTGTCTGCAGACGTCAGGGTACATGGGCTGTCTGACTGCCTCTACAGTGAGAGACACAGCAGTGAACAAGATGAGTCTGGTGTCTGCAGACGTCAGGGTACATGGGCTGTCTGACTGCCTCTACAGTGAGAGACACAGCAGTGAACAAGATGAGTCTGTGTCTGCAGACATCAGGGTACATGGGCTGTCTGACTGCCTCTACAGTGAGAGACACAGCAGTGAACAAGATGAGTCTGGTGTCTGCAGACATCAGGGTACATGGGCTGTCTGACTGCCTCTACAGTGAGAGGCACAGCAGTGAACAAGATGAGTCTGGTGTCTGCAGATGTCAGGGTACATGGCCTGTCTGACTGCCTCTACAGTGAGAGACACAGCAGTGAACAAGATGAGTCTGGTGTCTGCAGACATCAGGGTACATGGGCTGTCTGACTGCCTCTACAGTGAGAGACACAGCAGTGAACAAGATGAGTCTGCTGTCTGCAGACATCAGGGTACATGGGCTGTCTGACTGCCTCTACAGTGAGAGACACAGCAGTGAACAAGATGAGTCTGTTGTCTGCAGACATCAGGGTACATGGGCTGTCTGACTGCCTCTACAGTGAGAGGCACCGCAGTGACTGACCCAGGACAGCTTGATGCAGTGGAAGAAACATACAGGGAAACACCATGGTGCTTATCAAAGAATCAAACATGGCATTGATCAGCATAGGCCCAACTACTAGGCTACCAATTATATGGCTTTTCTTTGGTATCTACATTACGAACACATAATAGCAACCCTTCCCAGATACTCATATAACAACCATCAACTCATCCCCATGTAACCATCCCCTCATCCCAGATCCCATTAAAATAACAACCCCCTTATCTCAGATCCCATTTAATAACCATCACCTCATGTCAGATCTCATTTAATAACCATCACCTCATGTCAGATCTCATTTAATAACCATCACCTCATCTCAGATCCCCATGTAATAACCATCACTTCATCTCTGATCTCCCTGAAATAATGTCAACTTTTCCCAGATCCCCATGTAATAATACATTAATTTCATATAATAACAATCCTATTATATTTAGGTCTGCCCAGATCAATAACAGTTAATTAGTAGATAAAGTTTATCCTCAAAATGTTCCTGGAGGTGACATCCAGGGCATAAATATGTTTGAAATGTAGAACAGATCAAACTTAAGGGATGTTATAAGCCTAATTAATGATGTTCCAACTAATTAACCTGCAAAGTCCGCAAACTGAGGATGGATGAAACGTAACTATATTATGTAATCAGTCCAGACTTCCAAACAGGAAGTCTCTCGTGTACAAGAACATTATTTACGTGAGTTATTTCCCCTTGGAACCCACTCACAAATTTCACCAGATAATGAAGGGCACATGTCTGGTACTAACAAGGCACTTCCAGACACAAGGCACTTCCAGACACAAGGTACTTCAAACATGTCTCAAATTTTTAACAAATGAAGCACCAACTCGGGAGCATCAAACACCTAATGGGCCTGAAGGCAAGTCTGTCCGAAAAAAACACACAACAAAACTTCAAAAGCTTCATATTCCTTTGAACACTTTTTTCAACAAAATAACACCACGATTTTAGAAGTAGTCGGCTTTCATTCGGGTTTGAAATTCCTTCCTTCCTGTTGTGATATACACCACTGAAAACAAGTCACAGAACACTTTGTTCTTTTATAATACTATAGATTATATGCCATGTTCTGCAACTTTTTTGAGTTTAAGAATTTTGTGAGCCATGATTTGTTTAATGAGTGAATATGATTTATGCCCCTATCAGCAAATATCACATATTAAGGGACACCAGAACTGGGCTTATACATATCCATGTGTGGAACCTGTGTCTTCAGTGATGAGTGAACACTTAAAACCACACGGATACCCCACCGCCCACAATAACTTGGTGTAGAAATACCAATGACCAATCTCAGTAACTTAGAATGGCATCAAAAACCATCTTTCTTTGGTCAATACTGTATATTTCTATTTAATGCACTCTCAGCAATATTCCAGCAGCTTGGAACAGAAGGTACTTACAGATTTGTTTGTTTGTTTATTTAATGCCGCACTCAGCAATATTCCATCTATATGGCGGCGGTCTGTAAATAATCGAGTTTGGACCAGACAATCCAGTGGTCAGTATGAGCATCAATCAGTGTAGCTGAGATACGATGACGTGTGAATCAAGTCAGCGAGCCTCACCACCGGATCCCGTTAGTCACCTCTTACGACAAGCATGGGTTACTGAAGACCGATTCTAACCCGGACCTTTACGGGTAAATCCAGCAGCCTGTAACTGAGTGAGTGAGTATGGTTTTTACGCCGCTTTCAGCAATATTCCAGCAAGATCACGGCAGGGGACACCAGAAGTGGGTTTCACACATTTTACCCATGTGGGGAATCGAACCCGGGGCTTCGGTGTTATGAGCGAACGCTTTAACCACTAGGCTACCCCACTGTCTCGCCTGTATCTAAAGGGACTGACACAGAAGTACTTACATTGTAGAAGATGCCAGGTTGGTGTCCTCATGCTTCAGCTTGCCGTCCAGGGCCAGGCCACGCTTGTCTCGGTTGTTTGATAGTAAAGGGGTTAAGTGATAGACCTTGCAGAAGCCTGTTTGGCTTGGCTGGATGGGGAAACCCTCTCTGGAATTACAACACAGGGGAATGTGCCTATTTATGATGATGTACAACACTTAGATGCGGGTTAGCACGTGATGAGTGCAAGGCAGGGAAACAACAAGTACCATCTTTTAATGAAGCGGCGAGGGGTCAAACAACCGACCTGTGCAATCAACAATAATGAATAAAAACTATATTGCAAGGTCAAATCTAAACCATAAAATTTACATGTTTGTTATTTTATCCTGCACTTGGCAATATTCCAGCAATATGAAAACAGGATGTAACTACTATTCCGGTGATTGATATCGTCAGTAACGGTCAATGCAGGGTACGATGACACGCAATTCCCCAAATCGTTTGACCACCCGGCACATTTGCTTGTCTTTATGGCCAGCTTAGGTTCCTGACCCAGAATCCACAGAATCTACATATAGTCACAGATTTTTTACAATTATATAAAAATCATTAACGTATAGTGTCTTTGTTCTAATATATTGTAAACTGATTGATTAAAGATACAAATAATTAGAAAATATGCATGACTTTTAGAAAAAATTATTATATTCAAATAAAATCTATGCATTTTTTTTAATGAAAACATATCCCTATATAGACACATTTACAAATTCTTTAAAAATCAAATCTAATCATTACATATGTCATGTTATGTCCAAAAACATTAGATTAGATATTTTCCTTTACTCCTGAAGACAAAATTACAGATCACCAACATTTGCTTGTTCCGCAAAACGAAAACATTTTCAAGAAATGAAGACTAGTTTTGTGTGAAGTAGTTTTTACATGGCAGGTTTGACACTGTATCCTCTATACTGTGGTAGAAAATGTCGGCAATGATTAATCAACACTGAGCATGCCTAGTGTGACATATTCTCATTGCAGCATATCATACATATTGCTATAATTGTCCTGATGATGTAATATAAACTGTTATTCCCTGACTAAAATGGCCTGAGATAGTGCAGGAATGACTGGTTACATCATAACTAAAATTACTGGATGATAAAGTTTCACACAACTCAAACATCAAAGACACGCTGGTGATATATAAACGATAATTCCTTCTACTGACTTCACAATGTCGTAATGTTCTTTACTCTTTACGTTCGCTACATCAGAGCCAATGTCATACCAGCTTTACAATATTAAAATTCTATCTTTACAAGTTAATGACGAATGTCAGATTTGATTTGTGCTGCAAATGAGATGAGGGAGGCATGCAATACAACATTTATTGCAGCGTAGTGATGGATGACTGTCGTTTCAGGTACGCCTTCTTTGATTCAGTAGCGTACGAACCTAGCAAGTGACGTCCCAGCAGGGCAATGGGTATCATGCATTGTACCCATCTAGGTAACACAGCAGGAGTCTTCAGTGAGTGAGTGAGTTTAGTTTTACGCCGCTTTCAGCAATATTCCGGCAATATCACGGCGGGGGACACCAGAAATGGGCTTCACACAATGTGCCCATGTGGGGAATCGAACCAGGGTCTTCAGCGTGTTGAGGAACGCCTTACACACTAGGCTACCCCAGCGCCCCAAGAGTCTTCAGCATTATACGGGGTAACACTGCATTTTGCAGGGATACCCCACAAAGACACATTACATTATCTTTAATGACCAGTCATTGTTTTGTGCCTTGAACGCAGAGCGCCAGACAGGTAATGAGTACCATCTGTTAATGTCTTGTCATACCATACCTGTATCCTGTACACGGGTACACATATCTCACGTCTCTACCATGTATCCCACACCTGTAGCCTCTATAATGCACCCATATCCCACATCTGAAGCCTTTATCCAACAGTCATGTATCTCACATCTTTATCGCACATCTTATCCTGTATCCTACATCCATACCCTATATCCCACATCTGTACCTCATATACCGCATTGATATTTGTGATCTGTATTCCATATCAATATCCCACATCTGTACCCTGTATCCACACCCATATCCCACATTGATATCCAATATCCCACATCCATATCCAATATTGGTACCTTGTATACCACATTGTTACCCAATATTCCACATCCATATCCAGTATTGGTACCTTGTATACCACATTGTTACCCAATATCCCACATCCATATCCCATATTGGTACCTTGTATCCCACATCGGTACCTGGCATCGCCCATACCTGTATCCTACAACCATATCCCACATCACAACCTGTTACAACCACCATCAGTGTATACTACAAACCATATCCCCACATCTACTCACCCATATACTACAACCATCATGTATACACCCAGTATACTACCCTGTATACTACAACCATATCCCACATCTACACCATGTATACAACACCATATCCCACATCTACGTGTATACAACACCTGTACCCTGTATACTACAACCATATCCCACGTCAGTACCCAGTATACTACAACCATATCCCACATCTACACCATGTATACAACACTTGTACCCAGTATACTACAACCATATCCCACATCTACACCACGTATACAACACCTGTACCCTGTATACTACAACCATATCCCCATCGTCGCCAGTACCCACTATATATACTACAACCATATCCCACATCTACACCACGTATATACAACACTTGTATACGGTATACTACAACCATATCCCACATCTACACCCATCGATACAACACCACCCTGTACCCATGTATACCACGTATACAACACCTGTACCCTGTATACTACAACCATATCCCACATCTCACCATGTATACAACACCTGTACCCTGTATCCTACAGCTCCAACACAAACATCCCATAAACTAATATGTTACTCACTCGCTCTCCAGCTCAGCAACGGTGCATTTGTACTGTGCAGTTGAGAAGAGACAGATATCTGCAAACTGCCGCACTGCATGTGCAAACAAAACATCAACAAATGAACATATAAGACATAGATGTATATTAGACATGAGACAGGTGAAAAAACAAACACAGTGACAATGCATCAGATACATAGCAGCATCAACAGTCTTTCTGAAATGCCACCATACTGCAAAATGTGGATGCTCCCAGCCAAATATTTAAAATGACTGACAGAACACCACTCAACATGGTACAGATCCATGTCAAGTGCGGCAAAATAAAACAAAATAAAAAAATAATAAGATTAACATATGTTTTTACTGTACACTGGCTTATCATTTTGCATGCAAGCATGTCTTTTTTGCAAACTAGTCATCAGGAAAACATTGTTCTTATTTTAAGAGACACTAACGCTATTTAGGTATGTTATATAATCATCATTCACCCTTCAGTTAATGATGACAGAATCAGACACAATTTGAGTCCCATGCTGGGAATCAAACCTAAACTCTTACACTAGATGACAACCTTCTCCTTATGGTCATGAAGACTTTGTCTGTTACAGTTTGGACTTCTTACACCAGGTGACAACCTTCTCCTTATGGCCATGAAGATTTAGTCAGTAAGAGTTTGGACTTCTTACACCAGGTGACAACCTTGTCCACATGGTCAAGAAGACTTTGTCTGTTACACTTTTTGACCTCTTACACCAGGTGACAACCTTGTCCTCATGGCCAAGAAGGCTTAGTCTATTACGGATTGGATCTCATGTTTTCAAGGCCAAGATGGTTTGCCTAGCCCTGATTTAGGCAACACGTAGAATACTTACCAATACGTTATTGAAAGCCACACAGCAATATTTCAGCAATTGATGGCAGTCTATAACCAAGTTTGTTCCCGACAATCCAGTGATTGAGAGCTATCTACTCCACCAGACATAATGACACAGTTGAGTCATTGAGCCAGACCACCAAATCCCGGTGGACACATCATACAACATGTAGGTTTTGCTAAGCATCAATTTTAACCTGGACCTTTAATGGTTAGTTTCCAAAAGGTTTGTGACTGTTTCTAATCTGATGTGCGTGACAAATGGCCTGCATTATCTGTGTCGAGCAGCAGATAGTTTGGGAAAGCTCCCAGGACCGATCCATCATGTTTTCTTTCTATCTGATCATTGACCTTCTGACTTATGCTTGCCATTATGTGGACTCATCATCTCTAGTGATAGATAAGACCTATTAGATGTCCGTGCCACCGTAATTTGTGAAGAGAAAGAGGTTTTAGTCCCAACTCTTAATAACACATGACAGCTCTCTGCAGCTTTGGCTGTCGACATTGTACACCGAGCCTTGAAGGTCATGCTGGTGAAATGGACTTAAAATGTCAAATGACTAAAACAAGCTCATTGCAGAAACATTATCGTACACTTTCGGAGGAATTCTCTAAAGATGACTCATTGTTTGTCAACATTTATATGTGATGCCACCCCCAGTGAGGATCTCAACACCTTCCTTTCTGCTACTTTCATGCACGCGACTTGTGGTGTCATGGGTAGAGCAGGTTTGGTAGGTGTTTGGAACACCTGGTGTCACCATGACATTATATTCTATGATCCAATCATATATTTTTCATCACAATTTTGTCTTTCACCGCTGTGGAATCCTTTATTGCAGATATTTGAGGTGAGTGAGTGAGTGAGTATGGTTTTATACCACTTTTAACAGTATTTCAGCAATATCACGGCAGGGGACACCAGAAATGGGCTTCACACATTGTACCCATGTGGGAAATCGAACCGGGGCATTTGAGGTGAATTATTCCCTGGTGCAGGTATACTACAGTTCTAAAGGACATCGACAGTAACGTCAGTTTGTGCTTCAATGGCAGACGCTTGAGGCCCAGTGTGCTGAAGTGGTAGCGACGGGCTGAAAGTTCACGTAGATCCCATCGTCTTCCAGGGGGAAATGTTTCATTTGTAAGCCTGCAGGGTGCTATTTGACTTGCATGTCTGGAATTGACCTTGCAGATCAATGTATTGATTTGTCCACGGCATCTAAAAGGTCTCGGACTTCATTCTTGTATACACAGGATTAGTCCACAGGGGAGAACTGTCGTGGTCTGACATGGATCAAATTGACACAAACAGAGCCTCCACACACACGAAACTAGCAGAACTGTTGTATGTAGGGATCCTGGCAGGGATTGCACTCGCACTGAGATAGTACTGAAAGTGAGATAGTACTGGTACTGAGTTGGTAGTACTGATACTGAAATAGTACTGATACTCTGATACTGAAATAGTACTGATACTGAGATAGTACTGATAGTGAGACAGTACTAATACTTAGTTGATAGTACTGATAGTGAGATAGTACTGATAGTGAGATAGTACTAGTACTGAGTTGATAGGACTGACTGTGAGATAGCACTGATAGTGAGATAGTACTAGTACTGAGTTGATAGGACTGACTGAGATAGTACTGATACTGACTTGATAGTACTGACTGGACCTGACAGATAGTATTGAAAGAGAAATAGTACTGATATTGAGATGATAGTACTAATATTTTAAATATTGTTGAAATTGAAATAGTAGATAGTACTTATATTGAGATAATGCTGAAATTGAGACAGTAGATAGTACTGGTATTGACATTATACTGAAAGTGAAATAGTAGATAGTACTGACATGGAGATTAAAAGTCAGATAGTAGATAGTACTGGTATTGAGATAAAGGTGAAAGTGTGAAAATAGTGAGTGACTTTGGTTTAATGCCACATTTAGCAATATTCCAGTAATATCAAGGCAGGGGACACCAGAAATGGACTTCACACATTTTACCCATATGGGGAATCAAACCCGGGCCATTCGGTGTGACGAGAGAACGCTTTAACCACTAGGCCACCCCACCGCCCCCGAAAGTGTGAAAACAGACAGTACTGGTATTGAGGCCATAGCAGTGTCATATGAGGTGTAAAACATCATCTCATCAGATGCAGAAGAAGGAATACTGTGTCACATGACAGTTCCAGCCGTTCAATCCTGGAGCAGGCATTAGGACAGTGTGAACATCCAGACACAGCTGGCAGTGTTGCAACATAAGACCATGAGAAATACCTGCAATACTGCACCCTGGGAATATACCGAACTGGGCGGGTTTGGTCAAAGCCATTTTGACCTGTACGGCAGGTAGGTCATGACCTGACATTTTGATGTAGGAGAAAAGTCAGACATGACACAGGTCCTCAGCATTTACCAATGTGGTGAAACCCACGAAATAGGTAAGATGTGGAACCAAAACTTGGAACTGTATTCATTCAGGGGGAGGTAATCAACGAGCCACCTTAGTTATTCTACAGCTGACTGACTGACTGAATTTGGTTTTACGCCGCTTTCAGCAATATTCCAGCAACATCACGGCGGGGGACACCAGAAATGGGCTTCACACATTGTGCCCATGTGGGGATTCGAACCCGGGTCTTCGGCGTGACGAGCCAACGCTTTAACCATTAGGCTACCCCACCGCCCCAGTTATTCTACAAATATTCTAACATAAACATAAAGATTTAAATTCTGTACTAGATACTGATTATGAAACAGAGAAACACCATCTGGAGACAACCTTCTGCCTCGTCAATCAACATGATCAAAATTGAAAGGAACAAAATGGAATATTACACAAACAGCCTTGACCACCGTGTGGTGTGTCACATGCAGTGTTGTCTTACGCCAACTCCCAGTCTTATCTCGTTTCAGTCATCACAATTATGCCTCGTGTTACATCCTCTGTAATCACACTCCGTCGGACTGTATGTCAACATGCCCTACCACCAACCATTATCAGTGAATGGCATCGTGCTATTTCTGTACTGTATCTACACTCATATTTCACACCTCATTATGGGCTGGTATCACCAACTGTCATATACTCATATTTTACACCTCGTTATGGGTTGGTATTACCAACTGTCATGTCACTGGATAATCATAAGAATAACAATAATAATTGTTCTACTGCTGCTGCTACTATCACTGCCTCTGCTACATGTACTACATATACGATTACTAGTATTAGACGTATGTATCATATTCACCTCATATTGCAGCCGACCCGTGAATTATAATTGATCTTCAGTAACACATGCTTGTCGTAAGAGGCGACTAACGGGATTGGGTGGTCAGCTTTGCTGACTTGGTTGACACGTCATCATATCCCAATTGCATAGATCGATGCTCATGCTGTTGATCACTGCATTGTCTGGTCCAGACTCGATTATTTACAGACTGACGCCATATAGCTGGAGTATTGCTGAGTGTGGCATAAAACTTCACTAACTCACTAGCTACTACTACTACCAGTATTACTACTACTACTACCACCACTATTACTGCTGCTGCTGCTGCTACTACTACTACTACTACTACTACCACTACTACTACTACTACTACTACTACTACTACTACTACTACTAATTAATAGTGAGTGGAATTAACTGAGAGACAAGATCACAGGCCAGGAAGTAGGATACTCAAAGTAATGTGTTTTGTATCAGTGTGTCTGTATTGTCATCTCCCTTGGGAGTATACAATCAGCGGGAGAACCGACCTGAACACTGATCTTAGTGATGATTGTGACATGAGTCATCATAAAGCCTTACTCATATACGGAATGACATTACACTTGAAACATTCAATCAGACATCATTTCTTAATTTGTACAGTCAATATTGAGAGACTGAACGGTAATTTGATTAAACAACGCTTATGAGTTTTATTTCAAGTATATCATTGCATCCTGAAGCGAGTCAGGTTATTGATGTTTAGTATCCTGCACAACCACGGCGTCTAGATCAGTCTCAGACACACCAACATGAGAACCACACCGAACCTCTCCTCTTGCATCCATTACTGATATAATCAACCTCATTGAAACACAGTCTTGATGCTGACCTCAGCAATATTCCACCTATATGACGACAGTCAGTAAATAGTCCAGCCTGGACCAGACAATCCGATGACTGACACTATGAGCATTATTATTACTGACAAACCAACCCCCCTTGATCTTATCACCTCTTACGACAAGTATGGACTGCTGGGGACCTTTAGTCTTACCTGGATCACCAACAGGTGTCCCTTATCAATGAAATATACTGTGAGAAACAAATAAAAAACCACAAGAAAATTCAAGCGTTCCTTTATCATTTTCCAGTTTTCATCACCAGCTTTGAATAGCATTGGGATGATGAAAACAGGAAAATAATAAAACGCTTGCATTTTCTTGTGATCCTTTACCTGTTTCTCTCAGTGTATCTTTAAATGGCGTTTCAGAAGCTGTAGCAAAGATGGTGGACGTACAGATCTCATTCAGAGTATAAAAACTGAGAGCCATCAGCTCTTCATTTTTTCTCATGAAATATCAGACGCTATACCAACAACAGCAACAATCAATCTAATTCCATCATTTCAAACAGCAAAAACTGTTGCCTGGCAACCTGTAGCTCACAATAACATGCATGATACATATATTATACCACCTGTAGTGCTACAGCTGATATACAACAGTGAATATAACAATATTCCAACATGCATAGATTGCCATTTCCTACACAGTTTCAGTAGTTGTTTGTCCAGACTGACCTGACTGTTGGCCAGCAACACGGGATATATAGACAGTTAACACACATCCACTGCTAGACACTGAACACCTCTGTGACATTCAAATATACTCTGTGATAGTCCCATAATGCAATTCTGTTTGACTTCAACAATTTTAGAAAACTGACGAAACAATTTAAATGTGAGATTACAACTAAATATTGAATCTATCACAATTTTAAATAAAGTTAAATGAGGCATTAGATTTTAATTGATAAAATGTATGCCATTTACGATGTATGTTGGTAAATGTGTTTATTATGTAAATAACTGCATTGCATCAGGGTCTGAAGGTGTTTTCAAAGTTTAAGTTTTTAAAAATTATTTTTAAGTTAGAAACAGAATTGCATTGTGAAGAGAACAAGTCATACATTGTGTTGTTTTGTGATGGACGACTTACAGCATATCCTCATCAGCGATCACATGTGTCTGCTCATTGGTCTCATGGAGAACCAGGCTCATTAATTGAATTGCTAACAGAAGAACCAATCAGATGTCATATACACAGGAAAGAACCAATCATATTTCAGATACAGAGGGAGAAAATGTAGGAAGGACCAATGATATTTGAGATACTGTAGGAATGGACCAATCATATGTCAGATATGGCTGGAAGGACCAATCATTTTTCAGATAAAGTAGGCAGGGGCCAATCTTATTTCAGATACTTTTCAAGCACCAGTAATTGTCTTAAATACAGCAAAACCATGCCTTACATAGTCCAACAGCCAATGCGATAGAAACAATGGCCTATGAGACTGTGGCATCGACTTCAAAGGATGACCCACAAACGCATTCCGTTCTTATTAAACAACTACGTCACAAAATACACAAGGTAACTTTCTCACTTTTGCCAATAAGGTACATGAGAAATCATGTAAAATCTTTAAAGCATTTATATAGACTGTAATTGTGAGATATTACACAGTGGTAAGAAATTGTCCACCACTGATCAGAACTAGATGCAGGATATACCACAGTCAGCATAATAAGCACATTTCACTAATAATGACGAAGGAGTGCTAATTATGTTGGTTACGGTAAAGGCCCTACAAAACAGCATTGAAAGATTATCAAGTTTATTACCAACTATGGAATTAACTTTAAGTAATAATAAACTGTACTAAGAGTATATTTACCTGAAATTTTGATTTTCTTGACAGTTTTACTTGTGTTATTGTCCACCAAAACATTTATCGCTAGCCCCTCTCCATGGTAATATTTCTGAAATAAAATAAACAAACCATCAACAAATCAGCAAAAAACACAAAGAATATAAAAATTGAAACACAAATTTTTTAATTTTTTAATTGTATAAAATGCACTGAGTTATGATGACGACTCCATCACACAATGAAGCAATACCTTGTTGTGTGTTCTAGCAATCAACTTGGCCACCACATGTACTGCATGACAGCCATTTTGTAATATCTTATATTTGGGATTACACTTTCTCAGCAAAGTACAGATTCTAGTACCTTTAACAGGTTGAGACCCATCTGGGATTCGAACCCCTACTCTCAGAGTCAGGCACCTAATCGCCAGCACACAGAGTCAACAATCTAACCTACTCAGCCACCACAGCTTCCCCCAACATAGAGGCCAGACAACAGGTAGTCAACATCACATACCTTGTGTACCCCTCTGACAAATGTAAATTGGAACGGCTCCCACTGTCAAAAGCTATGTAGACACAATACATTTTAGAAAGTGGTCAAATGAAACATGCTATATTTGGGATTACATTTTCTCTGTGAAGTACGGATTCCAGTACTTTTATCAGGTTGAATACCATCCGTGGGGTACACAAGGGGATATAGGTACTAGAATCTGATCTTTACAGAGTAAGTGTAATTCCAAATATAACATATGGTACATCAAAAAGTTGGTATCAAAATTACAAAAAAATTGAAATCCATACGTCAAGCTTGATGTCATCTCTTCTGATCATGTTATTCCAGGAGGACATGTGTTTCACCCACCTCTTTGTCCAGCGATGCTTCTAGTCTAATGTTCCCGGGGCTCATCATGAAGTCTTTGACTGCCTCAGCATTTGGCTGCGGTGCTGGCTCCTCGGGAGCATATGTTAACTTGCGGATAGCTAAACGAACAGAGTTCCTGGAAACAGAAAACTCACATTCTTTAAACCATATACATTTATATTAAATGAGAGTGTGAGTCTTACACCTCTTTCAGAAATATTCAAACTTCATGGCAAGGGACTGACTGACTGACTGAGTTTGGTTTTACGCCGCCTTAAGCAATATTCCAGCAACATCACGGCAGGGGACACCAGAAATGGGCTTCACACATTGTGCCCATGTGGGGATTCGAAGCGGGGTCTTCGGCGTGACGAGCCAACGCTTTAACCATTAGGCTACCCCACAGCCCCATGGCAAGGGACCAAAATTAGGTTCCTCTCTGAGGAATCAAACCCAGACCTTTGGTGTCATGACCAAACACCTCAACCACTGTGCTACCCAAACCTCTTTATTGTATCTGCAGATGTATGTTTTAGCTTAAAATGATGTCTTGATGAAATAACTTGTGACTTTATTAATGATTTCATTTCTTATGAAATTAATAATTTTGGAGCTTTTTTAGTTTCACTCTGTTTTAAACTCAAAATGACTCACAATCAACACCAACAAGTTCCACCAAGTCTGGGTTTGGATACATGCCATACAGACATTAATGTGAGTTGCGTAAATGGGTTAATCAAGATTTAAGCAAATGGCGTACTGCACGTGTCACGTACAGACATCAACTAGGCACAGTTGAGTTCCACGCTTGGCATAAAATACGTCACAAACATCAAATAAACATCACAGCTAATGTTTTTTCAACAGGTTGGTTGGTTTGTTGTTTAACGCTGCACTCAGCAATATTCCAGCTGTTTTTTTAAGAGATTTCAATAGCTGTGTATAGCATTTTTAAAATATATAAATTGAAAATAAAAATAACATATACGTCTCAAAGACCATCAGCCAATTTCATTGCAATTTACGAGGCAGTAAATGTTTTTGCCAATTTCCCAAACTGACTGTAACCTAATCAGCATGAAACTCTTCTAAATCAACGTTGTAACAACTTATTCTGACTGCTGCATGGGGATGATATACAGGCTTATATCTGCCTAGCTGCCATCATGGTGTCTGGTTACAGAACAGGTGGTAACATATGTAATATTTAGCAGTATCAACCGATGAGCCATGTTGGTATGAGCCATATTGGTATGCTAACTTTTCAATATGAAATATATGTTGGTTCCTAATACTTGCAATAAATCAAATGTACAATCAGAAACTAATCACGGTTGTGATCACTGATCTGGGGATTTGACTGGCCCTGAGGGGATCTGGGAATATCGTCTTGGCGTGGAGGTTGTGGAGCAGGATAGGCTTATCTCCCCATAACATTTCTAGGTCAGATAAAGGCCCAGCATCTCACATGTATCTTTGTCCCTCGTTCCTACGTCAGAATAGGACAAGCACCAAATGCTTGTCTCCTTGACACTTCTTGATTTGGGTAAGTCCTAGGATCTCATGTCTCCCAAACGAGTTTCTAGGGCAGAATGAGTCCCCTCACCAAAGGGTTGTCTTCCCATAGCTTTTCTAGGGCAGAATAGGTCTCCTCACCCAAGGTTTGTCTCCCCATAGCTTTTCTAGGTCAGAATAGGTCCCCTCACCCAAGGTTTGTCTCCCCATAGCTTTTCTAGGGCAGAATAGGTCCCCTCACCCAAGGTTTGTCTCCCCATAGCTTTTCTAGGGCAGAATAGGTCCCCTCACCCAAGGTTTGTCTCCCTATAGCTTTTCTAGGGCAGAATAGGTCCCCTCACCCAAGGTTTGTCTCCCCATAGCTTTTCTAGGGCAGAATAGGTCTCCTCACCCAAGGTTTGTCTCCCCATAGCTTTTCTAGGGCAGAATAGGTCTCCTCACCCAAGGGTTGTCTCCCCATAGCTTTTCTAGGGCAGAATAGGTCCCCTCACCCAAGGTTTGTCTCCCCATAGCTTTTCTAGGGCAGAATAGGTCCCCTCACCCAAAGTTTGTCTCCCCATAGCTTTTTCTAAGGCAGAATAGGTCCCCTCACCCAAGGTTTGTCTCCCTATAGCTTTTCCTAGGGCAAAATAGGTCCCTCTCACCCAAGGTTTGTCTCCCGATAGCTTTTCTAGGGCAAAATAGGTCCCCTCACCCAAGGTTTGTCTCCCCATAGCTTTTCTAGGGCAGAATAGGTCTCCTCACCCAAGGGTTGTCTCCCCCAGAATAGCAAAGTTTGTCTCCCCATAGGGCAGAATAGGTCCCCTCACCCAAGGTTTGTCTCCCTAGCTTTTCTAGGCAGAATAGGCTTCTCCCTATAGCTTTCTAGGTCAGAATAGGTCCCTCACCCAAGGTTTGTCTCCCCATAGCTTTTCTAGGGCAGAATAGGTCCCCTCACCCAAGGTTTGTCTCCCCATAGCTTTTCTAGGGCAGAATAGGTCCCTCACCCAAGGTTTGTCTCCCCATAGCTTTTCTAGGGCAGAATAGGTCCCCTCACCCAAGGTTTGTCTCCGATAGCTTTTCTAGGGCAGAATAGGTCCCCTCACCCAAGGTTTGTCTCCCCATAGCTTTTCTAGGGCAGAATAGGTCCCTCACCCAAGGTTTGTCTCCCCATAGCTTTTCTAGGGCAGAATAGGTCCCCTCACCCAAGGTTTGTCTCCCCATAGCTTTTCTAGGGCAGAATAGGTCCCCTCACCCAAGGTTTGTCTCCCCATAGCTTTTCTAGGTCAGAATGGATCTCCAGTAACTCTTGCACATATCCCTGTATGGCTTTTATGTCAGAATAATACCCTATGCTTTACAACTCCCAGGGTTACCAGGTCAGAATAGGTCCCTAGTAACTTCATACCTCTCTCCCTAGAGTGAGGCCAAATAGGACTCCAGCAACTCTTACACATCCCTATAAGTAGTGTTGGGAATCGGAAACCAAAACCACTATCGATTATCGGAAGACTTGAGGTGAACGATTATCGAGTATCATCGAAATATATACATTTTTAATAAAATCATCAATTATAAGGACATTTCCCCAGGTTTTTTCTAATTAGTGTTGTTTATAACTGATACTGTCATGTAATTAAATGCACACATGCAAGAAAGACATTGGAATTGTATTTAAACAATAAAAGTGGTTAAAATTTTACAATGCGCATAGCGTTACGTTCTTGAGCGCATGTTTGTTCGTGAATATTCGTCAAATTTAATCTTTAGCTTAATTCATTCAGGTGTGTTATACTAAAACAACCAAATTCCGATTAATTGAAAATATGTTTTTTACAATCAATCATCATTTTTAATCCTTCTTTCGATCGATTTTCGATTATTTTCTATCATCGGAACACCACTACCTATAGGTTCCCAAGTCACAACAGGTCCCTAAACACCCAATACTTGGCTATCTGTTGAGGTTCCAGGGCAAGACACGTCTCTAACATCAAGAGTAAATCAAAACAGTCAACCACAATCCTGCTTGTGGCTGATTTCTCCAGCTATAACATATCACCAGGGACTTAATTACCGTAGGTCTTAGACACAGCTAACAAATTGCTCTGATAATGGAAAGATAACATTCAATCGCTCTACTGTTATGAAACACACCCAAAATAAAAAAACAAAAACAATTATAATCCAAAATATTGTCTTAAAGACTCAAATATATGAAATTTTCCACACAAACACAGATCTCTAATCACTATCCATTTCTACAGCTTCAGCCCGAACGTTTTTTCAACATTTTCTTTAAATTTGCTCCCAAAGCATCTCTTTGCCTGCATTATGTGCCAGTCCGTCAGTGCCAATGAACGGCACACAACTAGCCTAGAGGGTGTGAGTCGGAAATACGTAGGCCCCAGTCTGATCAATAACCTGATTAGACCAAACGGTCAGCCTGACCTTAGCCCCAAGAACTCCCATGGCCCTAGATGACAACATGATCAAGAGTCAAATTTAGCACACTATAATTGAAGTTTGACAGGATATTCCTCGGTACTCTTTCCATGCTGACACTACTCATTCTGTGTGGTAATCATTGACTTTAGTCGGACATTATAGCTCACAACCATTTTAGTTCCATTTTGGAGACGGAAAAAACATAATGTCGACATACAGATGAACATATAATCGCTTGGAAATCACTAAATGTATTTCCTATGCAACAAGCAAGAAAACTGTCATTCTGTTCTTCTCTTTGAAAATATCTGTAGGTGTATTATTACAGTTCGAAGCGCAGAATATTTTATACTGAATCAAGCAACCCAGTTTTTTGTCTGTTGTTTAACGTCAGCAATATCATAGCTATATGGCCTCAGTGTGTAAATAATCCAGTCTAGACCAGTCAATCCAGTGATCAACAGCATGAGCATCCATCTGCGCAATTGGGAACCGATGACATGTGTCAACCAAGTCAGCGAGCCTGACCACTCGATCCTATTAGTCGCCTCTTACGACAAACATGGGTTACTGAAGGCCAATATTCTAACCCGGACCTTCATGGGTCACAAGTCGTAATGAGGAACACAAGTCGTGTAAACAATCAAGTCTGGACCAGTCAATCCAGTGATCAACAGCATGAGCATCGATCTACAGAATTGTAATACCCTGACATTGGTGGGCATGTCATTGCATATATCTGTAGATGAATGACAATATTGTTTGGATGATTTAATCCTGACTATATTTAGACTTTATTTAGTCTTCCACCTTAAAATTGGAATATTGTTGACCAGCATGAAACTGATGAAATAATGAGTGAGTGAGTGAGTTTTGGCGGGGAGCACCAGAAATGGGCTTCACATATTTTACCCATGTGGGGAAACCAACCCGGGTCTTCGGCGTGATGAGCGAACGCTTTAACCACTAGGCTACCCCACCACCCCTGATGAAATAGGCCAAACAAAATACATACAAAACGTCCTGATGAACAGAAGGCATTCTCATTCACTTTCTTTTTTTCCAAAGTCTATCCCTAAAATCAATCTTTCTGTCATCAATTTCAATGTATACTTATTTTACTATTTTATCCTCTGTATGCATTGTATGTATGCTTTTATGTAGCGCCGTGAGCATGTATCAGTGGGTGGAAAATGGCACGCTAAAAATATCCATTATTATTATTATTATTATTTCCAGGTATTAGTTTAATAGTTTAATATTACTCTTGTTTTATCAGAAATGGGATCAGACAATTCCACACAAACAAATAAATACTTTCAGTTCATATCACAGCAGCCTCTAAATAATCAAATTTGTCAGAGTCAAAATGGTGGTTGAAGTTATGAGAATGATCTGACACAGTTTGTGAAATAGTTTCCAAATTTTGCTAGTAAGTCGGGATAGCTATGCCTGAAAGTTACTAGTCCACAAAAACATTCACTAGCCCCAAATTTGAATGTAGAAACTAAGCAAAGTCGGAGAGAGTGATATATTTACAAAATAACTCCATGAAATTTCACTAGCAAGTTGGGCCAGTGACTGTAGAGATTTAATGTAGTACTGGATTTTTACTAGCCATGGGCTAGCAGGCCAGTGGCTATTTCGCACACTGATCTGACATCCCCATCTGGTTACAATGTCAAACAAACTCTATGGTTGGTGTGAATTGTGACCTTTGATCACTGAGACCCCACCATTTGATCCTCTAGTGCAGGTATAGTCGTAACTACAGGGTATATAGTGTATACTCACCTCTTGTGGGGCTTCTCCTCAATTGAATCTGCTACAAATGTCTTCATCTCATAGTCCACACCACATGGCTGAAACAGAGAAATACGACTGATATCATCTCAGTACCATGGTAATACGACTGATATCATCTGAGTACCATGATAATATGACTGATATCATCTGAGTACCATGGTAATATGACTGATATCATCTGAGTGCCATGGTAATATGACTGATATCATCTGAGTGCCATGGTAATATGACTGATATCATCTCAGTACCATGGTAATATGACTGATATCATCTGAGTGCCATGGTAATATGACTTTTATCATCTCAGTACCATGGTACTATGACTGATATCATCACAGTACCATGGTAATATGACTGATATCTTCTGAGTGCCATGGTAATACGGCTGATATTACCTGAGTACCATCACTGGCAATACATCTGATATCCAAGAACCATTACTGATGATACATCTCATACATCAACAGGATATCTCCAAACAACCAGTACTATGACTCGTATTATATACACATTATCACTGGAGTCACCTGTGCAATATACCTGGCATCACCTGTATATCTCATACAAACATATATTGGTAATATAACACGTATCACTTCTACCTTACCTATCAGTATGCGAAGTTATCTGGTAGAATCAGAATATTTCACAGAAAGGCTTTGAATGTTCCTAATGATACATATGACACAGTTGACAAATGTTTTTCCAAACTTACCATCTCAACTGAGAGACAACATAAGTAAGATTCTGGCTTTTATTTCATACAACTCAGCAATCATCGAATCAGCTTAGCAAGGTGATGAGCGTGTGAGTGAGTGTGTTGGGTTTAATGCCCCTTTGGACAGTATTCCAGTTACATGACAGTATGTCAGCCTGATGTAGGAGGAAAGAGATGCAGGTGGACGTCTACCACTGATGGTGAAACCAGTCTCCACAGGTGACTTGGTGCTGACAAACCTACAAACACACTTGGCAAATCAGGGATTCAAACCCTGTCACAGGTTCTGGCATTCTAAGGGACACAACTCCCACAGTGAAATACAGTGCTTTAGATGACCTGTGACCAAATCAATGTTTTGAATATTAACATTTTGGATGTATCACAAATAACAATTTAGAGCAATAGTTTGTTATTGCCTACTGTTGCTAGTACCAAGCCTACCCTCTCACTAAACAGTTGTCTGTAAATCAAGAACAAAATAAACACTATTACTTTGATTGAATGTTGCTTATACCATACAATATCACCCATTTGCATGTATTATGAGTCTGGGCCAGGAAAACCATGAGGGACAGAACGAGTGAGTGAGTGAGTGAGTTTTATGCCGCTTTTAGCAATAATCGAGCAATATCACAAAGGGGGACACCAGAAATGGGCTTTTGTACACATTGTACCCATGTTGGGAATCAAACCTTGGTCTTTGGCACGACAAGCGAATGCTTTAACCTCTAGGCTACCCCACTGCCCCAGTGACAGAACAAACCAGCAGTCAGCAAATGCAGTCACAGAGGGTTACTCTGACCCAGCATCTCACATAGATACAGCAGTCTTTAACCATCATTTTACTGTTATGTCCCAGAAAGAGACTGTTTCAGAGCGCGAGTCTTATCAGTTACTGATGCCATATATATGTTCTGGAGGTTGTGATAAGTTATCATATATCACCTAGTTATCATATATAAACTGCTATCAGAAAGATAAAGTATCTCATAGTTCCAACATGACTGTAAACAGTAAACAAACTGAAATATACACTACCACACTTTGTACACAACCTGACCCTCTGAAACACCTTTCAACAGGGCTAAAACCAAGTATTGCCTTATGATATATAAAAACATTAATCTGTGTGGCCCCAAACAGGATCCGTATGGTGTGTGATACGAGATCTGTATCCAGTGTGTGATACGTGATATATGACATGTCTGTGTATGATCATGTGACAAGACAAACATCATTCAGCCTTCCATTTCCGCTACAGTCGCATTACTGTAGAGATTTTTCATAATTTTGTACTCATGAAAATTCTAGCTATGTGACAGCCTGTTCATAAAGTTGGACCAGACAATCCAGTGACAAAACCACACATTACACTGCCTCTTATGATTGTGTACAGAAACAAAATTCCCTCCCCAGACTCTTTGGAATTCTGTGATCCAAGAAATAAATATACTGGCCTTAAACATGGCTTAATATTCTGACAAAATCCCCAAATATGGGGAACAAATAATTGTTGAGAAGTGTTCATCCAGTTTATAACATGTTATATCTGAGTATATACTTCATAGACCATCCATGAACACGTCTTTAAAATTAGTTTACATTAAACTAAGTTCATGAAGAACATGGTAATAACAAAATGAAGGATATAACAAAGTGTAGATTTGGTCACAGCCACTCCCTGTGCTTCAGTTGAACAGCATATAACGAATTATTGTTATAACAAACTAAAGTTTGTGGTCACTATCAGTTTGCTATAACTATAGTATACTGTACTTATGTTCTTCAACACAACCTTTCTTCCTCTACTGAAATTCAAGGAAACTAGATTTGCTCTAGATGATCGAGACTTCCCTTGGCTTTTAGTACCAAAAAGATAGATATATTGCTTCTTGAGCCATAGACAGTAAGCTATATATTGTGTTACTATGGTGATACAGAACCAGCAATCGGTAACTTGTGATGCTCTGGGGTTTGTGAAAACAGTTATATACTACTCAACTTTTGACAGGGATATTTTTACATTTCCATGCCACTCATAATAGCATGTAGCGTATGTTTAATCAGAATATCTGGTTATCCCTTTCAAAAGTTGAGAAGTATATGTTGACAAGTGCTGTTTGGGTGTAGTGGATACACAGTGAGTGAGTGAGTGATGTTTAGCTTCACTTATTTACAGTTTGGAGGAGAGGTGAGTGATGGGGCACATCTTCATCAAGCAAGGGTACTGACTAAACCAGATCACTGAGCCACATTGGGATTCGAACCCAGACAGCAGATCCTGGCCCAGCAGAGATCAAGTACTCTACCATGAACAACAGGTTCACTGATTCCAACAGGTCACGGTGACCTGGGGAGAGTTTTGATATGCAACTCTGTTTCAATCTGACTATAATACCAGATAAGGTAGTGCTTGCGACAGCTGCGTCAACTGTGTGCAGTATTGGCCAAGCTGAGTAGAAACATAATTGACAGCAAATATTAAACATGTATAAATATGGACACTTAGTGCATATTCATTTTTTTTCTCTAGGTAATACAATAACTTTATTGTGTATTCAATATTCCTGAAAAATAATAATATTTCAATAGTTAACAAAATGAAATTCATAGAAGCATTCATTTTTTAACTGGCTTGCAGACTGTGAAGGGTATATATAGTGTACAATTGGGGATAGGTTTGGATGTATGCTTGATAATTGTTGGTCAAATGAAATATGTAATGGCAGATGGGGCATACAAGCAGTGATTATAAGGGGATATTTCAGATTACTTGGGGTCACTACATGTATATACCTCTGGTTTCTTAACACCCTTCTCTTCAGGCTCCTGCTGTGAGGGAGAAATCTGATTGGTTAGTAAATGACTTGACTGTTAATTCTGCAGTAAATGTCTTGGAGAAATCTGATTGGTTGGTGAATGACTTGACCGTCATTTCTGCAGTCGCTGTTTGGGAGAAATCCGATTGGTTAGTGAATGACTTGACTGTTAATTCTGCAGTAAATGTCTTGGAGAATTCTCATTGGTTAGTGAATGACTTGACCACCAATTCTGCAGTCGCTGTCTGGGAGAAATCTGATTGGTTAGTGAATTACTTGACCGTCAATTCTGCAGTCATTGTCTTGGAAAAATCTGATTGGCTAGTGAATGACTTGACTGTCAATTCCACAGTCACTGCCTTGGAGAAACATGATTTGTTAGTGACAGTCATGAACATTGGTTAGTAAATGACTTGACAATTCATTCTGCAGCAAATGCCTTGGGGAAATCTGACTATGACTGAAACAACTTGGGAAAGCATGACAAGCTATACTGGTTAACATGGCCTGAAAGAAATGTTACTGACACATTGGTGGAGACACAAAGCCATTAGCTGCAGAGATAAATAATATAAACATGTCATCTGAAATGATTTCATCACTAAAAAAATTATGAAAACAAATCATCAAAAAAGGAATTATTCAGTTCAATTACCTTTTTACCTTCCTGAAGAAGACAGAAAGGTTATCAAATAAGCCAGGACAACATAACCATGGCGATAAATGTCGCTCATAACATTCAGAGATGCTGTAACAAGGGTAATCTCGACTTGTTTGTATTTCATTCCTGAAAAATGTGCTGCTACTTCATAAAAAGAAAACTTACTGTCTGCCAGACCCTCATTTTCACCTGAATATGATGAATAACGCATTGCATTCAAGGAAGTAAACTGTCACGAATGTTGTTTTAATGTGAAGATGTTTGTTTCTTTCCATTTTCTTTAGAGATTCTGAATCACAGGTCAATGGCATCAGCACATTTAGAATTCTGATATTGACTACACAATCTGATGAATGAGCACTACCTATTTCGGTGATATTATTGAAAAGAACGGACAATATGATCAATATATATTAGTTCCAGGAAATTACCTCGCTTAAATTCTGAAAAAAAAGAAAAGAAAAACAATTTCCATTTCCGCAGATTGATAACAAATTTGTGTAAAACAAGAAACCAATTGTTTCTATCCTAATCTGGGATGTCTGGGTGACAGGAAGTAAAGGTTGAGTACAAACCTTCCCAGTATCCCCTGGTGCGGGCTGAAGTGTGACGGAGGCTGGAGCATTTGGCGGCAGCTGGAACAGAAAATGACCGTTATTGATATAACAAAAAAACACACATTGAGTGAGTGAGTGACTGAGTACGGTTTTATGCCGTTTTTAGCAATATGTCAGCAGTATCAAAGCGCCGGGTCCCTGGAATGGGATTCACACATTGTACCCATTTTTTAATTAACCTTTGGTATGATGGGTGGAGACTTTAACCACGAAGCTACATCACCGCTCCAAATGTACATTGAAATAATTCCACGGCTCACCCCCTTATGCAGTCAACAGTTTAACATGTCATTGACAGAGTCACTTAAAAGTTGATGGCACAACTAATACCAATTCATTTCCTGCATATACTGTGTAAACACTATAACAAACATGCATATAAAGTACTTAATCTGTCATAACAATGACAAAGGGAAGTGCTTCTAAAACTATTCACGACACGCTGGATTTCTTGTCGCAGACTGAGCAGTAAAGAATAAACTTGGTTCAAGTGTTCAAACCAAAACGTTTACAGCAATTACTACTAGACTATGATACAACTCTTTGATGCAGTTGTTTCCTGAAAACCAATCTTGATACACACAATGAAATAAGGATTGCCATGTACACATATTTGTTTATTGAAACAGTGACAAATAAATTACAAGTGATTCAGTATCATTTTAAACTGTTTATCCTCAGAGAAACTAACTTGAAATACAGGGCCATGACCCATTAGCCACACGCACTGTGGAATCCTTTATCACAGATATTTGAGGTAAGTGAGTGAGTGAGTATGGTTTTACGCCGCTTTAAGCAATATTTCAGCAACATCACGGTAGGGGACACCAGAAATGGGCTTCACACATTGTACCCATGTAGGGAATCGAACCCGGGACTTCGGCGTGATGAGCGAATGCTTTAACCACTGGGCTACCCCACCACCCCCTAGCCCGGATGATGTCACTGACATGGAATTGTTGAGGATCAAATAAACAGTTTGTGATGCAGGGCTTAATTTAAGATATGTTAGCCTACTTGCACCAGGTGCAACCTAAGATAAAAACCTAGTTGCACCAGCCCGATTCCAGTTGCACTGCTTTTATTGCAATTTGTAATGAAAGAAATATGCTATTGAATTATTTAGATGTTTTATTTAGAAGTTTACTCACAAATTGACTTGCACCTGGTACAAGTTAGACTAATAACTAGGTTGCACTTTGTAATATTGGTTTGCACCAGTGCAAGTAACAAAGCACTAAATTGAGCCCTGAATTGTTATAGCTGATGTAATTAGTTAAAGGTCACATGCAACCAAAAAAATCAAACATAATTAAAACACAATTATCACTTCTTCATGACATATAATATGCATTGCTGATTATGAAAAAACAAATAAACAAAATTATAAGCGTATAATCGCAAATCAAAAGTGCAATATTTTGTACTTGGGTTTACCTCCCTCGAAACGAAGCAGCCGGATACCGAACCCAGTCAGAGAGGGTGGGTGTGCACTCAAGTGTAACGGCTGGTTCATTAGCAGATGCCGCCTTCACGGCTCATTGTGTGTGTATATATAGAGATGTTGGGTTTTGTAAATACATGCTCATTTTTTGTGTATAACATTTTGCAATCAACAGACATCATAACATGTCATGTGTTCAAGTATCACACCTGCCTGTCTGTGTAATTACATAATGTGACAGAGACCGAACTCGGGCCATAAATCAATGCGTTTTGTTTATGGTGTATAGCCTGATTGGTGTTAAGTTCAAATTGCATGTGGTCAGTGATCGCAGTTGTGTATTGAATATTGTCATTAGCAGACAGGCAGGCAGACACACAGGTGTCAATAAAACAAGACATTGAGTTTGTCTGTGACAGCGACATATCTATATCACAGTTAGAAATTGTGTCAGCTAAATAATGACATTGCTTTTAAGTATCGAACTGAGAAAGTGACTCGGTAAGAAGAGCGTGTGGTGAAATAGACAAATGAAATTATATAAACAGTTTATTTACTGTCATAACATATAAAAGCTCGCCTGTGAGATATCAACAAAACATTATGAAAATAGCTCACACCAAAGCCTTCACGCAGTATTCACCAGACAGCCCGCTTCCAAGTTGCGCGAACCTATTTCACTGCGCACGTGCTATGGCGGCCAGCTGTTGAAACCCGTATTCCCCAGAAAGTCTGGGGAAAATTAGTGAAAACGTTTGAACTCCGATTTTGGCGCGGTTTTTCATGGCGTTATTTTTCAACTTTATAAGTTGAATTTGCATTTTGAAGCTTTGTTTGGTAAGTCCATACCGAAAGGTATCAGAATCTGCAAAGTTGTGTTTACGTTGCATGTGACCTTTAAAGGGCTCCTGAAGAAAATTGATCTCCATATACAGACTGACTATTCAATTAAAGATCATGCTATTTTTCATACATAAAATCCTCGTAATATTTTATTCATTAAAAATGTCATGAATATTCATGAATGTTCCTGAAGCAAAGGCTTTGTGAACTTTCAGAATCAACAAGTGGAATGATTTGACTTGATATGTTCAGCAAGATCAAAAATGTGTTTATGGAATCCCCCGTAGATATATTATCAGTGTACAAGATGATAGATATATTATCAGTGTACAAGATGATGGATATATTATCAGTGTACAAGATGATGGATATATTATCAGTGTACAAGATGATAGATATACTATCAGTGTACAAGATGATAGATATACTATCAGTGTAAAAGATGACAGATATATTATCAGAATACAAGATAACAGATATATTATCAGTGTACAAGATGATGGATATATTATCAGTGTACAAGATGATAGATATCTTATCAGTGTACAAGATGATAGCTATATTATCAGTGTACAAGATGACAGATATATTCTCAGTGTACAAGATGACATATATTATCAGTGTACAAATATATTATCAGTGTACAAGATGATAGATATATTATCAGTGTACAAGATGACAGATATATTATCAGTGTACAAGATGATAGATATATTATCAGTGTACAAGATGATAGATATATTATCAGTGTACAAGATGATAGATATATTATCAGTGTACAAGATGATAGATATATTACCAGTGTACAAAATGATAGATATATTATCAGTGTACAAGATGATATATATATTATCAGTGTACAAGTTGATAGATATATTATCAGAGTACAAGATGATAGATATATTACCAGTGTACAAGATGATAGATATATTATCAGTGTACAAGATGATAGCTATATTATCAGTGTACAAGATGATAGCTATATTATCAGTGTACAAGATGATAGCTATATTATCAGTGTACAAGATGATAGATATATTATCAGTGCACAAGATGATAGATATATCATCAGTGTACAAGATGATAGATATATTATCAGTGTACAAGATGATATATATATATCATCAGTGTACAAGATGATAGATATACTATCAGTGTAAAAGATGACAGATATATTATCAGAATACAAGATAACAGATATATTATCAGTGTACAAGATGATGGATATATTATCAGTGTACAAGATGATAGATATCTTATCAGTGTACAAGATGATAGCTATATTATCAGTGTACAAGATGACAGATATATTCTCAGTGTACAAGATGACATATATTATCAGTGTACAAATATATTATCAGTGTACAAGATGATAGATATATTATCAGTGTACAAGATGACAGATATATTATCAGTGTACAAGATGATAGATATATTATCAGTGTACAAGATGATAGATATATTATCAGTGTACAAGATGATAGATATATTATCAGTGTACAAGATGATAGATATATTACCAGTGTACAAAATGATAGATATATTATCAGTGTACAAGATGATAGATATATTATCAGTGTACAAGTTGATAGATATATTATCAGAGTACAAGATGATAGATATATTACCAGTGTACAAGATGATAGATATATTATCAGTGTACAAGATGATAGATATATTATCAGTGTACAAGATGATAGATATATTATCATTGACAAGATGATGGCTATATTATCAGTGTACAAGATGATAGCTATATTATCAGTGTACAAGATGATAGCTATATTATCAGTGTACAAGATGATAGATATATTATCAGTGCACAAGATGATAGATATATCATCAGTGTACAAGATGATAGATATATCATCAGTGTACAAGATGATAGCTATATTATCAGTGTACAAGATGATAGATATATCATCAGTGTACAAGATGATAGATATATCATCAGTGTACAAGATGATAGATATATCATCACTGTACAAGATGATAGATATATCATCAGTGTACAAGATGATAGATATATCATCAGTGTACAAGATGATAGATATATTATCAGTGCACAAGATGATAGATATATCATCAGTGTACAAGATGATAGATATATCATCAGTGTACAAGATGATAGATATATCATCAGTGTTCAAGATGATATATATATCATCAGTGTACAAGATGATAGATATATTATCAGTGTACAAGATGATAGATATATTATCAGTGTACACGATGATAGATATATTATCAGTGTACAAGATGATAGATATATTATCAGTGTACAAGATGATAGATATATCACCAGTGTACAAGATGATAGATATATCATCAGTGTACAAGATGATAGATATATTATCAGTGTACAAGATGATAGATATATTATCAGTGTACACAATGACATATATTATCAGTGTACAAGATGATAGATATATTATCAGTGTACAAGATGATAGATATATTATCAGTGTACAAGATGATAGATATATCATCAGTGTACAAGATAGATACATTATCAGTGTACAAGATGATAGATATATTATCAGTGTACAAGATGATAGATATATTATCAGTGTACAAGATGATAGATATATCATCAGTGTACAAGATAGATATATTATCAGTGTACAAGATGATATATATATTATCAGTGTACAAGATGATAGCTATATTATCAGTGTACAAGATGATAGCTATATTATCAGTGTACAAGATGATAGCTATATTATCAGTG